CCTCTCGTGGGGCAAGGCCACCTGGGCTTCTGGGCGGCGGGGACCGAGGCCGCGGGCGGCGGGGTTCGGGCAGACCAGCGCCTGCTGAGATCCGGCCGCCGTCTCGGCCTGCCAGGCTCAAGGTCACAGGGGGCACCGGTCCAGCGCCGGGACCGCGCCCGCCCGCCGTTCCGCCTCGGCCCGCGGGATCTTGACCCCACTGACCCGGAGCCGTGGCCGAGCGCCGGCCGCGCCCTGGAAGCCCCCGGCCCTGGAGTCGGCTTGCGGGTTTCCCGCCTGGGGTCCCAAGAAGGCTAGCCCGCGCAAAACCTCAGAAATGGCAGTAGTGGTCCCATTTGCCGCTTAGGTTGTGGAGAAGAAAAAAATCTTTCCCAGTAAAGCCCCAGGAAACGCGCAGGGAGACGGATGTAGCGAGGTGTCGGGTTCCCAGCTTCTTTGTTGACTTGCATTTTAAATTAAGATAAGTAGTGGATCAAAAAGTGTGTGCAGCTGTCAGCCCGTAAGCAAGCGCTGGTTTTAACTTCGAGACTTTTTTCCTAACTTCTTTGGAGTAAATGTTCGGTTTTCTGAGTTCACTTTGACATTTTCCATATTCAAAAAAAGCTTTCTCGTGGTCTTTAGGTGGGCAACTTAAATCGTAAATGTTTATTTGTTGTTAATGAAGTAATTGACCTCGAGAAAATACAGTGGGCACTTATAAACGAACAGGCAAAGAAACTATGTGTTGGTTAAACTCTTGGGATAGACTAAAGGACTAATGAATTTAACCTTCGTGGAATCTTAAGTGACAGGATCTGTTTTAGAGGTAAGATGGAATCTCAAAGAGGTAAGAAGCACATAGCTGGAAAAACGCTTTTGAACTGGAGTTTGAAGACTTGAGGCCCAGGACTCTTCCTAATACTGATGCTCAATTTAAGTTCCAAATGTTTGTTTCCAAGTTGGTTAACAAATTATACTGCCTTTTATTCTGTTGAGCATCTACTGTCTTTTCACACAGGTGTTATGAGCCCATGAAATTTGTATTTCTTTCCAAGAAAGACAGCTGAGACTGAAGGTGTTCACTCAACGTGTTCATCTGAAGTGCCAGAGCACAAAAGCTAGTAAACTGGATGGAAATTTGGAGCTGGCTGGGCCCAGTACCCCTACTTAATGCTAGTGCCAAATGCTGTTGACACTGGAGTCTTATCTCTGCCTATCCTGTTAGCATTCTTTTTTTAATTCGCCCAGATCCCCTGTACCCCTGTCTTTGAAGCCCTGTGTAACTGACTGTGCAAGAAGTTGTCACTCTCCCCAGGAAGTCATGGCAAATTGAATGATTATAAAGTAGGTGCTGTGAGAGAAAAAAAATCAGGGAACCTACCACCTGAGATCATGGTTGACCTGTTAAGAAAGGAGCACTTAAGCTGATCATGAAAGCTGCTAGTGGGAGGAGTCAGAAATAAAGGACATCCCCACAAAAAAGAGGGAGCACAGGAATGGAGGGGAGACTGACCAGAGGGAGATATGAGCAAGGGCCTACTAATTATAGGCTTTGCAGGCCATCTTAGAGAGCAGGATTTTATTCTGGGAACCACAGCAGGCATTTTAAGGCGTAAACTTTAGTGTCATATGATCCTATTTACATTTTTAAAAGGAACAGGATCAAGAGTAGTGGCCAAACTGGCAGGTGCTGGTGCCATTTATTCAGCCTATTGTTCTGTAGGCTTATGAGTGCCTACCACATGCCAGTCGCTGTTGAGAAGCATCCTTGAATGAGGCATACAAGACCCTTGCCATCTGGGAGCTTGCTAGTAATTCAGAGGGGGAGCAGGCTTCTGGGAAGGATCCAGAGCACTTTTAAACCTGGTAAAATTTGAGATGGCTGTGAGATACTCATATGGAAAGTCCAAGCATGTAGTTGACCTGCTTGAACTGTGTGATACCTCAAAGGAATTGGAAGTTGTCAACGTACAGTAATACAAAATGTTGATCAATGCTTATACTTAGCATGGGTTTCATGATGCTGTTTTGTATATGAAGCTTTTCATAATGAAGCACAAAAATGTGTGAGATTGCTTGAGAAAGAATCTAGGGAAGAAACTGGAACAAGGGCCCTCAGATGTATCAACATTTATAGGCTGAATATGAGAAGGAAAGTGAGGTCATTGTTTTGTGACTTCGTCCAAAGGGAGATATTTCAAGGACTTGCTCAGCTGTGCCAGAGGCTACTAGAAGGTTAAGTAAGATGATAGGAAAACTGAATTTACCTATGGGGCCAGTGTGAGTGACCTTGCAAGAACATTTTAGAGGGGAAGGAGGAAGTTTTCCTGGAAGACCTATACTTGCCAGCACACCTAAGCTCTGTTTAGTGCCAGCAGAGTCCCAGCTGCCTAGTCATTGTGCTGGTATCCTGTGTACCCAGAATTTAACTTGTTTTCCTCCAACACATACTTCTGAGTTCTCTACCCCCAGTAATGGAATCTTCCATTTAGCAGCCCAGGCCAGAAACCAGGTCTTCCCCAAACCCATCCCCTCCCAGCTAGTCAGCTGCAAATCTGTCACTTCTACCTCCAGCAAGCCCAGTCCTGACTGCCTTCTCTTGCCACTCCCCTAGCTCAAAATTCCCTGAGCTCAACTCTTGGCAACACCACTCTGGATTCCTATGAAGTGTGTGGACTTGAACCACAGGGTGAAGGGGATAATTGTAGAATTTTGAGCAAGGCAGATTTCTGTTAGATCTCTGTGACATGAGCTGTGTCCTAGTCCCTCTCCTCTCCCACCCTAACATTGCCAAGAAAAATTACAAATTATGTTTTGGCTATAATTTGAGACATGTTAATATGGAGTAAGTTATTAAATGTGATAGAATTCTTTTTTTTTTTTTTAGATAATTACATCTTCGTCTTGTCTTTGCTTTGAGGAGAAGCATTTTACAGTGTTTAAGGATGCTTGAAAGTACATGCTTTCAAATGGCTTGATAAAAATAGAGTACAATAAATGTGAAAAAAAATGTTCATAACTTTTCCATCTAGATGCAGGGTCTAAAACAAGAGATGAAAGAATAGTATAATGGTGTTTTCAGAATGAAATGTTGGGAATAGCTCTATGGCAGCATTGAAGAAGAAAGATTTACTAGGCTCGGAGGTTTGGTGGTAGGGTGGAGAATGGGGTCCTGCTGCTTTAATGCAAGGCTCTTCTTTGTATTGGGCCCTTAAATTGACTGTCACCTCCATATTCACACACTCCTGACTAGCTGCTATAGTTTTGCTTCCTAGAATGTCCTTCCTCCACCGCCATCAGCCTAACAGGTAGTCATTTCAACAAATGATCGTTCAGTCTTGGTCCCTGTCTTCCCTCCTCCTACCCCCAGGCTGACTTAGATTGCACCCCAAAGGCCACTGTGCAACTCCATTGAGAAGCTCTTCTCACCTTGGGCTGTGATCATGTCGTTCTCCTCCAACCAGGAATAGATCTTTAATGAGCAAATGCACAAAGCCCATTACGCTACTGCTGCCCCATCTAAATGTTAAATGCATTTCCTTTCTGATTTCCTCCAACTATGATACCATAATCAGTACCCATAACTTCTTTTCACCTCAAAAGTAACATTTGGGCCCCCCTGGTGGCACAGCGGATTAAAGCACTACACTAAGAAGCTGAAACCACTTCCGCATGAGTTCGATTCTGGCCTGCCCCGGAGGTGACCACATGGTGTGGCAGATCTCTTCCTGACCAGCCCACTGCTCCCCACTGCTCCCCTCAGCAGTGTACTTCGTTGATCTGCCTGTTCTGCTCCCACTCTGTCTCTGGTGAAGTCTTTCACCACCCCTGAGTCTCTGGCCTGTACCCCAGTTCTGTATGCACAAATAAATCTTTAAAAAAAAAAAAAAAGTAACATTTGAATATGTGCCTCTTTCATCCCCACTGCCATCATCTTAATCCAGGAACATCCTTTGGTTCAGGCAGTGAGTGCGTATTTATTACTTTCTATGTGCCTGGTACTACCAGGCATGACAGGCGACTGGGAGCCTGGGAACCACACTCTACTCACCATCTCACTGCCAGGTTGCTTTTTACAGCTACATCTCTTTTGGAAACTTTCTCATTTCACAGTGTGCAGGATAAAGCCCAGGAAACAAGCATGGTATAATGGGAACCTTAGCACCCTGCCCCCCTTGCCTTCTCCTCTTTCTCACCATCATACCCTATTCTCCTGCCTCACTTCACTCAGCTGTTCCAGAATATACCATTAGTTTTGTGACTCCATGTCCCTGAACATGTTGTCCCCATTGACTGGAATTAACACCTGCCTTGCCCACCTGTCTTGCTTGTCTTCTAAGGCAGAACCAGAATGTCAGTCCTTCCAAGCAAAGCAATGAATGGCTCTGACCTAGTGTGGTGTGTGTATGCGTCTTGTAGACCGCTGCTTTTGTTTTCCAAGAGACTGAACAGGCTAGGCTTCTGACTCATCTTTATGGCTTGGCACATACTGCTTATTCAATTTAAAATGTAGTATTTTGCAGAATGTGTTAGCCCCTATTCTGTGCTCTGTGAAGTGTCACACACAGAGATCGTGTTCTAAAACTGATTGTGGTGTTCGTCTCTGTAGTGAAAAACCACAGTCCAGATCTTACCCTGTCAGAACTGGCACAGCTGCTTCTACCTCCACCCATGATTCAACTTGAACAGCTAGGTGGATGGGTGCATTAGGCAGCTTTAGTCACCTGGCTCTGGAAAAACTTCAGAATTTGACAGACAATTGGGGTTAATGCTGGGCCAGATATTTTCATCTGTGAAGACACTATGTACCCAAGTTCACACACAAACACCATTTGGTTCTTCTATGTTTCATCTTTGTTTGCAAAGCTTTTCCATGTCTTTTACTCATTTTACCCATCCTAACTTTACTCCCTTTGTTATGATAAAAATCTGTTGAATATTCAACTGGGGATATTTGTGTTTGGGAGACATCCATTGATAGCGAAAATATTTTGAACTTTATCGTTAGATCTAGGTTTATATTTTATTTTCTTACATCATTTATCCACTCTGAGCCAGTATTTGAAATGCAATATATAATAATCTATCTTGCTAAATTAGTGTTAAGCAAGATGACAAACTGTCTAGTCCTGCTAGAGACTTTTGTCCTATACATTTATTAGAAAAACTGCAAGTACTTGTACTAACTTGTTATTTTGTATTTTTAATGAGCATGGTACATTTTAATATTTGAAGAATTTGAAGAAATTTTTATTTCTTGATAATTTATGAACAAAATATTGATTTATATCTGTATAGTTTGTATATTTGTAAGTTTACACCATTCAGAATCTTTTTATCTGAATTTTAACTATTTGATTTAATATTCTATGACTAGTGTTTCAGTTGAAAGACTGCCATAGGGGCCTCCCTGGTGGCACAAGGGCTTAAAGTGCAGCACTATGAAGCTATGTGCAGCCACTGTAGCATGAGTTTGATCCCCAGGTAGGGAGCTGACCCACATGGTACAGCAGACCACTCCTATCTCACCCCACTGCTCCCCTCAGCAGTGAACTTCAGTTAATCTTCCTGTTCTACTCCCCACTCTGTCTGGTGAATCATCTCACCTCTGGCCTGTACCCCAGTTCTTGTATGCATAAATAAATTATTCTTTAAAAATAATATAAAAGAGGGCTCTCCCTGCTGGCATAGTGGGTTAAAGAATAGCACTACAAAGGTAAAGCTGCTTCAGCATAAATTCCATCTCTGGCCAGGGAGGTGACCCACATGTCGTGGCAGACCTCTCCTGTCTCACCTGCTGCTCCCCTCAGCAGTGTACTTTGTCAGTCGGCCTGTTCTGCTCCCTGCTCTCTGGTGAATACTCTCACCACCCCTGCACCTCTGGCCTATGCCCCCATTATGTATGCATAAATAAATAAAATCTTTAAAAATAAAATAAAAGACTGCCATAGGGAGAAATTGCTGTGCAATCTTTAGTCATTAAAGCAGAGAGTGAGTTTGAGTAAAAAGAAAAAGGCTATCACTGTCATAAAATTTAGAGTACTGTTATTTCTAAAGCATTGTTGTTGACTAAGAACAGGAATTTTTACTATATTGTAGATTCCATATTTTCATCTTATGAGGCAGTGGGGAATTTGTCCATGTGAGAATTTCTTGCCTCAAATCCTCTTCCTTCATACTTGCTCTCTATTTTCCTCTTACATTTGCTGTAATATCTCTATCTTCAAATAGGCCTGCTAAGCAGATAGGGAAATAATCTGTAGACAGATCTAGTTTCCAGAGATCAGCAGCAAAAATGCCCATTGGCCTGTCAATATCTCAGCACTGTTTTGAAGCACTAGATGTGATCCTGAGAATTTATAGTGGCCAATTGGAATTATATCACATCATTGTCTTTTGATTTAGTTAAGTCCAGAGAAGATAATTTATTTGTGAATCAAAGATCAAAAACTATGAAAAGTAATACTGTAATAACTCTGAGTGGAGGTGATGATAGTTCAGTTATAAAAGGGATTGTACAAAAAGGAATGGACTGCATTCTGTACAGTTCTATCTATAAAACATCTTGGAGAAAGGAAAAACCATAGATGTGTAGAATAGATTAGTGGTTGTTAGTATTTGGCAGTGGGGAGAATGGTTGCTTACAAACCCTTCTAGGGAGTGAAGGAACTGTTACTGTCTTGTGGTAACACGACTGTACATTTGTCAAAACTCGTATACTAGAACAATATGCCAAAAGAGAATAGATTTTACTATATGTACATTTGAATGAAAATGAGTAAGGTGAAATAAAAACAACTTAGACTGACAACAAAATGCTGGTTACGGTACTAGAGCGAGTAGAGGGTCAATTTGATGGTTGTAAAAGCTCCTAGAACTCTGGTGTGAGTGCAATGTGAGGAGGGTGGCTGTACTATTGGAACTTACGCAGTATTGTGAGCCAGTGGTACCTCAATTTTAAAAATTAAGATGAAGGGACACAGTGTGTCTTTGATCCCTGTTTTGTATTTGAGGTTAGGAAACTAGCCAGTTTCTAAAATTTTAGATCGTCTTCAAAATGTATGTACCTATGTGACTTACCTGTGTGCTTTGCCTGTATCTATCTGACTTCTAAACATTCACTTTGACATCTTTCAGCCAAGTTTTAAGTATAAAAATAATGTATTTTTCCCCAAAATACATACTGTTATTTTCAAATAGTCATAAAGTTTGTACAGTGAAAAATCTCCCCCCACGGCACACCCAGTCGCATTTGCCAGGTGGACTCACTGTCCACAGTTCATCTTATGTATGTGTGTGTGGCGGTGTGCTGTGCTTTTACTCAGCGATTATCACCATCATCATTACATGTAGATCTACCTCATATGTTATTTTTAATGATGCATATTCTGATTTTGGATATTCCCTAATTGATATATCCCTGCTAATATTCAAATTGCGCTTACCAGGAAAAAGCAAAAAGGAAATGAAGTAGTAATGGATGTTCTTGTGCACTTGTCTAAATAGCTGTCTTTAGGACATCACCAAAAGTGTAATTATTGGTCCAGAGGCCTATGCAGCTTTAATTTTTATATAACCACTGTGCCCTCTGGGGAGGTTGCTAATCCCACTGGCAGGCAGCTGGGAGTCAAACATGTACTTACAAGTTCCTGCTAGTTTGTTAGCTAGGTCATATTTATTCTCACTTTCTTTGTCTTTAATTTCTTACATTCAGTTTAAGATGAGAATTAGAAAATTATGTGTTAGTAAATTTCATAATCAGGTTTTTGTGATACTTAACCTTGATCTAATTAATTTAGGAGTAAAATCAATTTTTTAAGAATTCATATAATTTTCTCTGTATATTTTTATATTTTTTTCAATTGGGATAAAGTATTTGTAATATGACTTACCATTTTAACATTTAAAGGTACAATTAAGTAGAATTAAATGCATTTACATTGCACAACCATCACCACCCGTGTCCCATCCCAGAACATTTATCTTCCTAAAATGAAACTCTGTACCTATAAAACAGTAACTTCCCAATATCCCCTTTACTCCATCTCTGACAATCATAGTGTAAGTTCTTCCTTGGTGAATTTGAATGTTCTGGCTTTCCCCTACTTTTTGAAAGTTCACACTAAGTCATTGTACTTTTAAGAATGCCCTATGTTATTCGCTGTTTTTACTACCTGAAAGAAATCTAAAGAAAAATTTTCATGATGAAAAGTGAAAATGATGTTCAGAAACTGATGCAGAGGCAGTGTCCCCCACACCCCCACCCCCAGCCCCAGCAGCAAGATTGGCCCTGCCTAGTTCTTCCCCCAGTAACTACTTAACACAGACTGTACTTGCTATATGCTAGTGTTATTTTATGATTAATATATTATTTGGTAAGATTTGGTAGGGTATTTGGGGGTTCTGGGTACATTTTTTTAGGTTTATTTGTGCATTTAAGAACTGGGGTACAGGCCACAGGTGCAGTAGGTGAGAGGATTCATCGAGACAGAGTGGGGGACAGAACAGTAAGATTGACTAAAATAGACTGCTGAGGGGAGCAGTGGCAGGTCAGAAGAGGTCTGTCATGCCATGTGGGTCACCTCCTTGGCTGGAAACTGAACTCATGCTGCGGTGGTTGCTGAGACAGCTTCATAGTGCTGTGCTTAACCCCTTGTACCACCAGGGAGGGCCCAGGGGTTCTGGGTACATTTATGATTTATTCTTTCATATAAATTAATGGTAATTAATAACTTCACCACAGTTCTGCCATTTTAGCTTACAGAAGGTTTCATGAGAATGCCCTGCTTTTGATTACCTCAGAGACTTGTATATTCCTCTATGTCAAAAATTGCTTTGGAAAAACACATAGTAGGAACTGTAAAGGTAAACATGAAAGCTTTCTTGGGAATGCCACGCCGCGTTGCTTTTACACTTAGCTTCTGCTCTTTGGAATGCATACTGTGGTAGTGGAAAATCATTACCTTGTGATAGCCCACTTTCTAGAGAAGTGCCTAGAATAGGTGCTCAAGGCATGTTTGCTGAACAGATTGAGAAATATATAAAAGCTATGTAACACCACAAAAGACCCTGAGATCTTTGTACCTCTGATTAGACTCAGATTTTTGTATTTGTTATACCATAGGAAATTGACATCTTCCAATAACAGACCTCGAGAAGACAGCTGGTTAAAATCCTTATTTGTCCGGAAGGTTGATCCAAGAAAAGATGCTCACTCTAATCTCCTAGCCAAAAAGGAAACAAGCAGTTTATACAAACTACAGTGTGAGTGATAGGTTTATTATCTACATAGTTGACATTTTTACTTTTGCTCATAAATTTATCATGGAATTTTTTGTTTGTTTATTTCAGTTCACAATGTTAAACCGGAATGCCTAGAAGCATACAACAAAATTTGGTGTGTATATCAAACTAACCTTTACTTGGGGGAAAATAATGATTTTACTGTTTGTCGGTTTCAGCTAACACTTGACAGAGTGAGAGCTTTGATCCCCCTCCTTAAAGCTGAATGTTCAGAGGCTCTTAAATTGAGCTCTGTGCAGGATTACCAAGGGCTTTTGGGTTTTAGGCAGTCATACAGCTAAACCATTGCAGTTTATCAAACTTTAGAGTATTACTAGAATCTTAAGGTTGGAAGAAACCTTGCACTGCCATCTCGTCCACCTGGTCATCCACGCTTGAGTCCTTTCTAAAATCCTTCCTGACTGCCTATGCTTGAATACATTCAGACATTCCATCTGTGGACAGCTTTGAGTGTTAGGAATTAGAACTCATGTCTCTGTGACTGCCACTGTTTCCAATTTTACTGCTAAGTACAAGTGCCATGTGAAAGTCTTGTATGTATTTGAATATAGCTGCCTTTTCTTCCCATGTCTTCCATCCTCCAGGACCCAGGTCTCTTCAGCAGATTCTCATATGATGTGAGATCAGTGCTCTTACAGAATTTGTAAACGTTTAGACTAAAAAGAGAATTAAGTGTATCCATTCTTAATTAACAGAAATAGTGTCTCAATGATCAATTGTGAGCAAAAATAATTTAAAAATTTTTGTTTATCTTTCATACCCAAAACTTCCATTAGAAAGTAAATTATTTCATCACATAGTCAATGTCAGAAGCAAAAACCTTTTGTTTGTTTTATTTTTGAAGGTGGTTTGTGAAGTGTAACTTCAGCATAGAATTTCTTGCCTCAGCATATTTCTCTTTATTAAAAATGCTCTTAAACAAAATAGATGTTTGTTTCTGAATCTTTTCCTATAAAGTAAAAAATTTTCTCTATGCTGATGTTTCCCTGAATTATTGTTCCTGTCCTGTTTTTATCACTTCATCTCCTGTCTGTCCATATTTCTTTCTATGTGGATGTCTTGTTCTCACTTCAAACTCAACCCATAGATTCACCCCCGCTTCCAAATTTCCTGTTTGTAACACTCATCATGGTTTTGTTTAACCCATTCCTTAGTTCTTTGTGATTAGTCACAAGGACTGTACATTCTCATTTGATGTGTATTTTAGTTCTCTGCTTATTTCATTCTCCATCTCCTTCTCCAAGCCTGTCAAGTAGCCTCTTTTCTGGTGGCCTTCCTAGGCTCAAAACTGTCCCTGTATCTCCACTCCAGCCTACAGACCATTACCCAAAAGTTTGTCAAATTGATCTACTTGAGTTCTGTTTTCTCATTCATCATTTTTTTTTTTTTCTTTTCTCTGAAACTTTCAGCAGCAGCCTGTTTCCAGTACATAAAGACTTAACTCCTGCCTGGTTTTTAGGGGCCCCAATAATGAGGTTCTGCCCAACCCATCCAGTTCTGGGTACAAGTACTACCTGCCTTACAACCTCCATTCAGGTAAGGCCAGGGCCTCCAAAAGCAGGTTTGGGGCCCCCTACAAAGAGAATTGGCTACAAATTCCTATATAACTTTTTATCGGTGAAAAACCTAGACCCCCATTGTCAGGTCCCATCTCCTTTCTGGATACTTCCTCTCTCTACAGGCTTCCTTCTTCCACATTGGCTCCAATCAGTATGGTCTACTTATTGCTTATGTCTTGTGGCTAAAAGGAAACCCATTTCCATTTCTCTAACATAATCCTCCTTTCCTTACCCCTGGTTTCCATCAATCCCATGTTACTTCTGAACATCAGGTACATTTAATATCTGTTCTTAATTTTAAAACTAAATGCCATACTTCTAAAAACACATATGGTGTGACACACTGGGTCATAAAGACATGGGCTCCATTATTTAGGCAGAAGGCCACTCCCAAGTTTTCTCTGTTAACACCAGTCTTGGTGCTCCAGCACCTGGTGGTGACCATCAGCTTAATATCACTCAGTGTCAGCAAATTATTGAAAAGGTTCCATATCTGACCCCTTGATATCCCTTTGTATCTGTCATTGAATCTGTACTGTGCTTTTTTCATATTAAAAAAAAAATGCAGGCTTTAACTTTTCTCTTGGTGACAGTTAGGCCTCTTCCCTAGGCCTTTCCCTCTACATTCATATCTGTACTGTAGGAAGGTTTCTGTGGACCAAGCTCTGGCATTTGTGTTAAATTGATGCACTGCCATGGCCTGTCACTGCTCCTGTTCAGCCAGTGTATATGAGCTAGATGGTATTTTTGGTGTGGGTTTGTGAATGCCTCTCAAAGTCCTCAGCTGGTTGAATTGAGTAGGACCTAATTTATGTTTCATGCTGTATCTTTAAGTTGGCTTCTTCTGCCACACTGATGCCCGTTAGGACTGTCAAGTTGGGTTGCTTTCAGACTGTGTTGTGTTCTAGCTCTACCTTCTCCTTCCTTAAGGCCAACTTGTTACCTGTCCCTGTACCTCTGCCTGCTTGTGCCAATTCTGTTGTCCCCCTACCCTATCTTAAACAGTACTTTTTTCCTTTTCTTATTTCTTCCATGTTCTTTTTCTACTATTCCCATTTCTCTCAATCTTCCTGTCTTTGGAACCAGCAGAACTTAGCTTTTAAAAAATCACCATTCCTGAGTACTTTTTTTTTTTTCGTTTTTTGAAATGGCAAATAGCAGGCCCATACTTCCTGGAATCTTGGGACCTTTGGCTTCTTCTTTATCTGTTTTATCACCACAGTTGAGGTGCTTACAATTGTGTGGATAGCTATGGTATCAGAAACTTAAGCTTCTGATAAGTGAAACTATTAAGAGTAAAACAAAATTCAATTCAAAGGTTAATTCTGCATGTCATTTTCGTACAGACCAAGGTCAGTTGTCAGAACACTGAGTAGAGTCCCTTTTTCCTGTTATTGATCATGTGTTTTCCACCTGATAAAATTTTGTTGGTTGTTTAATTAGTGTTGCTATCTCTTCTCTTTAAGTCAAGAGGTGTTACCAAAGATTCATGAAGATAAACATTACCCTTGTACTTTGGTGGGGACTTGGAACACGTGGTATGGCGAACAGGATCAAGCTGGTAGGAAGCAGAAGTCTTTGGAATAAACAATGTTCCTTAAGCCTTTACTGTCATGTCTTGTTATTTTTAATGAAATGCTTGTTTTTATAATCAAAGTTTTGCAAATCTCACTCCAGTATTGTGGTTAGTGTTTCCAGTAGCACATTGCAAAAAGTTTTTCTTATTTTAAATATTTGAATCTGCTGTTGAAACTTTATGATATACTCAAGGGACAACACCTGCTGCATTACAGCTTTATATTATGTTAACATTATTTGGCGTATCTAGAATATTTTCAAGGTAAGGGTATCCCCAAATTCTAAGTGTGTATTATCTTTTCAGTTCATCTCTGGAGGTATGAAGGAGGTTATCCAGCCCTCACAGAGGTCATGAATAAGCTCAGAGAAAATCAGGTAATGATATTGTTAAAATGTTGACTTATTCAGATTAATAATATAATAGATGTTAGTATAGAATTAAATAATTATTCTGTCATCAGCTTTTATTAGTAACTATTAGCATTTGTAGTAAAAAATGTATTCTTTGAAATCTTGAAGTTGTAGTTTAACATACAGTAACCAGTGTGATACTATTAAAATAATAGTTTTCATTGTAAAAGTCAATTGTATTTTGAAACTGATAAGCAGATACTTTGAATCCAGTTTATCAGGATGGTGAACATAATCACATGCCTACTTCAAGAGCTGCTCGCTACATATTCTTTACTTTTGTCTGACTTTGCTAGCCTACCTTTCCCTTTACTAATAAGGAGAATTTTTTTTTAAAGATTTATTTATGCATACAGAACTGGGGTACAGGTCAGAGGTGCAAGGGCAGTGAGAGGATTCACCAGAGACAGAGTGGGGAGCAGAACCGGCCAACTGACGAAGTACACTGCTGCGGGAAGCAGCAGGCAAGGCAGGAGAGGTCTGCTATGCCATTGTGGATCACCTCTGGGGCAGGATGCACAACTCATACTGAAATGACTTTAGCTTCTTAGTGCTGTGCTTTAACCCGCTGAACCACCAGGAAGGGCCCCATAGACACTTTTGAGATTGAAAGGAAATGCTAATAGTTACTATATGGGTTCAACAAAATATGAACTGGAATTATTTTGGGCCAATGAAGACCCGATTTATAATAGTATTCTACTATAGGAGGTACATAAATGATAAGATCATAAATATTACTAAAGTAGCTTTATATGTAAATGTTAGGTTTCATGACCATGTTTTTTTTTGTTTGTTTGTTTTGTTTTGTTTTTCCACTTAGGAATTTGTGGAATTCCGTAAGGCAAGAAGCAACATGCTTCTCTCTAGGAAGAATCAGCTGCTATTAGAGTTCAGTTTCTGGAATGAACCTACCCCACGATCAGGACCTAATATATATGAACTCAGGTCCTACCAACTCCGAGTAAGTACTTCTCTCTCTCTTTTTTTTTTCCTTCTTTTTTTCTCATTCTCTTTTGCTAAGCTTTTTGGTTTTTATGATCTTATATATAACATTTGTTATTTGACATTTTTCCATATAGTGTTTCCGTTTTTAAAAAGAAAGACCTATAATGCAGGACAAGATACCATATATAGCATCTGTTGAATTGAACTAGAGCAACTAGTAAAGGTGTGATACTGAATAAATTGTAAGCCCTGTAGGAGTAAATGGGAGTAATATTTTGTTAGCCTTTCTAGATGTTTCTTTACTAAGTGATTACTAAAAAGAAGACCCTAATAGCAACGTTATGTTTTTATTTTGGGGAAGGGGGGTAATGTTATAAAAGGGACATAATCTAATACATTATAATAGAGAAGAATAAAATTAAATTTGCTTAAATTAAAATTTTCTTAAAATTTCACACTAAAGCCTAAACAGATAGCAGTAATGCAATTACAACTTAAGTACATCTGGAGCATTGTTCTAACTATGTTTTGATAACCATAATTGGATGTCTTTCTCTTACATTGCATGTATATTATCTTATATGAGCCCATAGAATATTACTTCCATTGTGGGTAGGTAGGAACATAGTGAAAAATATTGTTGTCTTTCTATTTTTTTTTCCATATTACTAAAAGTTATGTTTAAGCTACCTTTGTCATTTGATATTTTTTATACTGCACAGAACTAACAAAACTCCATATATCTTTTCAGCCAGGAACCATGATTGAATGGGGTAATTACTGGTGAGTATATTTCCAAATGCCAAGTTTGTAAGTCTTATTCATGTTTTAGTCTATAGTGTAGTTCTAGGCATAAAATCAGGGGATAATGCCATGTTTTGATAGACTATTGTTTTGTTTGATGTTTTTATTATGAAGTTTTCCAAACATAGGCAAAACGAGAGAGAATAAAACCATGGATTCCTCTTCTTGCACCCATTACTTAGCTCCATAATTATCACCATGTTGCCAATCTTAAGTCTGATTGTCCCAACCCAAATTATTTGGAAGTAAAACCCAGACAGTATACTGCTCCATCCATAAATATTTTACTATGTATCTCTAAGACATAAGGACTCTTCTTTTAAAAAAACAATAATCCAATGTTGCATTAAGGCTTATATATACTTCTTAGATACTACATTTTTTGAAATGTTGCTGTTGTCATATAAACACATACTACAGTGATACCATTGTTGCTTTTTTATCTCTTATTTTTAAATAACAAAATACCAATTTTTCCCCAAACTGAGCTGTAGACTCAGTTCAGTCCAATTTAGAATCTAAGCAGATCTGAAATACAAAGGACCCAGAACAGCTAAACAGACTTGAAAAAGAAGAATAAAGTTGAAGGACTCATATTTCTGTTTCTATATTGATTACAAAGCTAGAAAATAACCAAGACAGTATAGTAGTATCATTAGCACAGATCAATGGATTAGAATAGTATAAACTCCAGATAAACCATAGATATATGCTCACATACATAAGCAGTTGAATTTTGACAGATACATTAAGGCAATGTCATGGGCCAAAGGGTACTGAAACAACTGGATGTCCTTCTAAAAAGATTTAGAACCCTACCTGACATTCAATATAGAAATTAACCAAAAATGAACTTTAGATTGACATGTAAGAACTAAAAGCTTTTAGAATATAGGAGCAAATCTTTGTGACCTTGAATTTGGCCAAAAAAATGTTAAATACAATGCCAAAACAATAGTCCATAAAAGGAAAGAATTAATTGTAATTTGTCAAAATACTAAATTTAGAGTATATCTTTTTAAAAAATAGTTTCACTTTTACAGGATAAAAAAGGTCTGGAGATCTGTGGCATAGCAGTGTGAACATACTGGATATTATATGATGCAGTTAAAAATGGTTGAGGTCAAAATGATTAGAAGAATGGAAGGGGAGGAAGGTAGAAGGAACTGGTAAAGCACTCAGTTTAATAATCGTGTATGATACTAGAACTTTGGTGGTGGGGATGATGTAGCCTTATAAACATTTATCAAGGTATAAAATAATACTACTGAAATATGGTGTTATAAGTCAATTTAAAAAAAGATGATTCCTAAGAGATGCAGAAAAAAGAATAGTTGATGTAATTTAATGTCATGTGTTTCTTTACCACACACAAAAAAATTCACACAAGTAATTGAATGGGCAAAGGATTTTAATAAACATTTCACCAAAGGAGATATATAATGCCTAATGAGCACATGAAAAGTATTAAGCTCCTGGTCATAATGGAAAAGAAAACTAAAACAATGATCAGTTACTACTTTACACTCAGTAGTATAGCTCTAGCTAAAAAGACATAATACTATACAATAGTGATAAGTTGTGACCTAATTGCTACCCTCATACATTGCTGGTGAGAATGTAATATGGTCTGGCTGTGCTTCAGAATGGAAGCATACTTCATACACACTTACCCACAGTGATCGTGGCATTTTTCATAATAACCAGAAAGGGGAAACAACCTAAATTCATTGGATGAATGGATAAACAAACAGTGGTATGTCTATGTAATGGAATATTATTTAGCCTTAGAAAGAAATGATTTCACATTCTACAAACATGAAACCTCAAAAATATACTTATGAAAGAGTCCAATATAAAAGGCGACCTATTCTTCCATTTCTGTGAAATGTGAAAAATAGAGAAAAAGAGTAGTAGTTACCTGAGAACAATGAAATTTTGCAAAAGAAATCTATTGTTAGATTGTGGTGATAGTTTTACAATTTTATAAGTTTATTAAAATTATGGGATTGTACACTTCAGTGAATTTTTTAAGTGAACTTTCTGGTATTTATATCATAAATCCAAGGACAGTTCACAGTGAGGAAATTGATTAATACATGCAAGTAAGATTGGGGTAGTTGTCTAGCACGCACTCACTGAAGGCGGTGGCCTTGACACACTCCCATACACATCACTTTTGTGCCTCCGTGAGAGCATGTCACACACCAATAGAGTTGTCTGTTGCTAGTCTACAACTCTACTTTTTTTTTTTTTTAAAGATTTATTTATTTGTGCATACAGAACTGGGGTGCAGGCCAGAGGCTCAGGGGCGGTGAGAGGATTCACCAGAGAGAATGGGGAACAGAACAGGCAGATCGACGAAGTGCACTGCTGAGGGGAGCAGCGGGTGGGTCGGGAGAGGTCTGCCGTGCCATGTGGTCACCTCCGGGGCAGGCGGGGATCGAACTTATGCTGAAGTGGCTTTAGCTTCTTAGTGCTGTTCTTTAACCCGCTGCGCCACCAGGGAGGGCCCCTACAACTCTACTTTTAAGGCCTGTCATAGCCTGGTGATTAGTAAATGCTGAATAGATGGATGAATGGATGAAAGGAACTAATGTTTACATAAGAAATAAGAGGTCATTTGTGGTTGTCAAAATTGTAAACAACTTCAGGAAATATATTCCTGCAGTGAAACCTTATACACCTTGAAAACATCAAGTTGAGAAGAACTAGTTAAAAAAGAATATGTTCAGCATGGTATTTTTGTGTAATTTTTATAAAAAGATATAACAAATGTTATATAAATAAGATTTACAAGTTATATAAAAGGTGTAACTTGTTCATGAATACCTGCATATGAAGTTAGAAATACAAAGCCATGAAGAGGAAACTCATCTTCAAAGAGACTGCTTCCAGAGTGGGGGACAGAGAGCAGTGGGGAGGAAGAGGAATACAAAGGGACTTACAACTTTCTCCTCCTCTCTTCTTTTTTTTGTCTTTTTAGATTTATTTTTTATTTATGCAAACAAGAATTGGGGGTTAGGTCAGAGGTGCCGGGATGAGAGAATTCACCAGAGACATTAGGGAGCAGAACAGGCAGATCTACTAAAATGCACTGCTGAGGAGAGCAGCTAACTAGACAGGAGAGGTCTGCTGCACCATACATGTGGAACACTCCCTGGTCAGATCAAACTAATGCTGCAGTGGCTGGTGATAGCTTGATAGCGCTGAGAGTTTAGACCCTGCACCAGGAAGGCCCTCATTTCTTTTGGATACCACTTTACACCCGCGAGGATGGCTGTAACTAAAAAGACAGATGGTAATACTTATTGGGTGAAGATCTAAAGCAAATATATAACAAAATATTAATGTTTTAAAAATCTAGTTTATTAGAATGCTTGAAATATTTCATCATTTATAATTATAATAATCTTGAGCCTCCCTGGTGGCACAAGGGGTTAAATCTTAGCACTCTCAAGTTATCACCAGCCACTGCAGCATGGTCCCTGGCCAGGGAGGTGACCCACATAGCACAGGAGACCTCTTCTGTCTAGCCAGCTGCTCCCCTCACCGGTGTATTTCAGTAGATCTGCCTGTTGTGCTCCCCATTCCGTCTCTAGTGATTCTTCTCACCCACCAACAACTCTGGCCTACATCCCAGCTCTTGTATGCATAAATAAATAAAATCTTTTTGAGGAAAAATTTTAGGGGCCTCCCTGGTGGTACAGAGGGTCAAAGCACAGCAGTGCAAGCTAGCCGCAGCTGCTTCAGTGCAAGTTCGATCCCAAGACCTCTGCTGCAGACCTCTGCTGTCTCGCCCACTGCTCCCCTCAGCAGTGTGCTTCATTGATCTGCCTGTTGCTCTCCACTCTTTCTGGTGGATCCTCTCACCGCCTTTGCACCTCTGGCCTGTGCCCCAGTTCTGTATGCATAAATAGCTAAATCTTTAAAAAAAAATTTTTTTTTAATAAAAATTATCTTGGGCCCTTCCTGGTGGCACAGCAGGTTAAAGCACAGCACAAAGAAGCTTAAGCCACTTTCGCATGAGTTCGATCCCCGCCTGCCCCAGAAGAGATCCACATGGCACGGCAGACCCCTCCTGACCCGCCCACTGCTCCCCTCAGCATTGTACTTCGTTGATCTGCCTGCTCTGCTCCCCACTTTGTCTGGTGAATCCTCTCACCCTCCATATCTCTGACCTGTACTCCAGTTCTGTATGAATAAATAAAATAAATCTAAAAACAAAACAAAACAAAACAAAAAAATTATCTTAATACATGTTCAGAAAACTTGACAAAATTCAATACCAGTTTTGCTAGGGGTACTAATCCCTAATTTTGAAAAAAATCTTTAAGAATTAGAATTAGAGAATATTTTATTTAAATCAAGGGTTGATAAACTATGTGAATGTCCAGGTAATTGAGTTGTCAGAAAAATATATCATGAATCTTCTGACAACCTAATATTAATACCTCAGGCTTTATGGATCACAATGTGTTTCCTACGATTACCTAACTCTGTGCTGGTTTAATGTGAAAACCACCATGCATAGTTTATAAGCAAGTGAACATGACTGTATTTCAGTAAAACTGAAGTTTCATATGCTCATGACTGATGAACATATGAAAAGGTATTGAATTCTTAGTCATGATAGAAATGCAAAATGATTTTTTTTAAGTAGTTAAGATTTGATTTTTTTAAAGCAGTTAGAAATGTAAAAGCCATCCTGAGCCTCTCTCCCTGTCCATAAAAGCAAGCTACAGAGGGTGCCATTTAACAGACAGGGCTGATATAAATGACAGAATGATACATCTTGTCCATTTTGAAAGCCATATTAAATTTAATAGTGTAACAGACACAAGAAGCATGTTCATTATCCTTATAACAAAATACCCACTTTAACCTTTATAATTTTATCTTTGACCTTTCTCATTACTCAGTTCTTTTTGATACTTCACGAAAAAAAAGGTATTATTAAGCCTGAACACTTAAGAGGGAAAGAATTGATTATTAACCATTAGTCAATGCCTGGAGCAGGAATACTAAGTGAGGTCAGCTTTGACCAGCACCATCAGAGGGACAGATGACTCAGTAAATGAAATTGGGCTGCACTGCAGTAAAGAAGGGATGAATGCTGGTATATCTTTTTCCCCCAGTCTCCATACCTTCTTTGCAATGATAGATCTTTGTATGTTAAAAATACTTTAAATTTGAAAACATTAGGATAAAAAGTTTCCTAAAAATACTGATTTGAGGGCCCTCCCTGGTGGTGCAGTGGGTTAAAGACAGTACTAAGAAGCTAAAGCCACTTCAGCATGAGTTCGATTCTTGCCCTGTAGCTGACCCACATGGCACAGAAGACCCCTCCTGATCTGCCCACTGCTCCCCTAGGCAGTGTACTTCGTCAGTTTGCCTGTTTTGCTCCCCACTCTGTCTCTGGTGAATCCTCTCACCACCTGCACCTCTGGTGTGTACCCCAGTTCTGTATGCATAAATAAATCTTTTAAAATAATAATTTGAGGTAAATATAAAAATATGTCTAATTTAGGGCCTCCCTGGTGACCACAGGGATTAAGTCTCAGCACTGTCAAGTGACCACCAACCACTGCAAAATGAGTTCAGTCCCAGGCCAGGGATTTTATATACATATATACACACACACACATTTGAGTATTTTTCCCTTTGGAAACTTTAAACATAGTTATACCTTAAATTTTGGGAGGTGTCTATCTTTGAAGTATTTATGGTAAAAATTTTCTTCAGAAAATTGCATTATTGTCTCATAGTTATTTTCCTATAATGATGGTGTGAGGAAATCTGTGGGTTGGTATAAGTTATTTAACAGCTTTGAGGTCCCTTCTTGGTGGTATAACACTGAGAAGCTGGCTGGCTGCCTGCCTCATTTCTATCCAGCTTTGAGCCTTGGTTTCTTTAAGTGAAAATAGGTCTTTTACTAACTCTCAGTTTATATCTATTCTCCCTTTCCAAGTTATAAAATTTCTTTGGCATTTTTACCTTTGGACTAGATAATTACTAATATCTTCTAGCTATAAAAATGGATCACTGATCTTTACTTCCTTTTTTTTTTTAAGATTTATATATTTATGCATATAAGAACTAGGGTACAGGCCAGAGATGCAGGGGCTGAGAAGATTCACCAGAGACAGAGTGGGATACAGAACAGGTGGATTGACAGAAATACGCTGTGAAGGGGGGCAGCGGGCAGGTCAGGAGAGATCTGCTGCTCCATGTGGGTCACCTCCTTGGCTGGGGCTCAAACTCTTGCTGCAGTGGCTGCAGATGGCTTTGTAGTGCTGCACTTTAACCCCTTATTCTACCAAGGTGGACCCTTTGATCTTTATTTTTTTCTTTTTTAATATTTACTTATTTATGCATACAGAACTGGGGTACAGGCCAGAGGTGCAGGGGCGGTGAAGAGGATTCACCAGAGACAGAGTAGGGAGCAGAATAGGCTGACCAACGAAGTACACTGCTGAGGGGAGCAGCAGGCAGGTCAAGAGAGGTCTCTTGCGTTATGTGGGTCACCTCCAGGGCGGGGGATCAAAACTGAACTCACACTGAAGCCACTGCAGCGGAGCTTATGGTGCTGAGTCCTTATTCGTTGTGCCACCAGTGAGGGCCATTTGTAATGAGTCTTCTTGGGTCATCAAAGGCTAAAAATGCAAGTTAGAATTTCTTTTAATTTGAAAACTAAGAAATACATATTTGATTATATGCTAATGTAATAGGTAGCAATTTATTAAGGTTTTTGTTTTTAGGGGAAGCTTATAAATATAATTTAGTTGCCTACAGAATAGGATAACTCAGTTATTAATTAAGATTTGTCCAAATGGAAGCCGCAAGGAAGTGCTGAGGTTCTTCAGTTAAATAAAATTATTTATAAAGCCAATTCAGCATTCAATTTATATTTTGACACATAGGTAACTATTTAAGATGGTGATCTCTTCAGTACATGCTTCTGATTGTTACTATGCTAAGGCAAGTATGCTCTCTTTGCCTTTTGTAACTGAATTTTTATAATTCAGAATGAAATTAATAATCTTAAATATTTATCACTATCAATGAAAGACAATTTTTTTGGTCCTGAGTAGAACTAGAATGCATGTTCAATAAATTAAATTTCAATAATTTACCAATCAGACTTGTAATATTTATGAAGAATGACCACTTAATTCCAAATGTAAGTGGTAAAGAATTATTTGGGGGCTACCAATGGGACAATAACAGGAGATCCCTCCTTCATCACAAAAGAACCTGAAAGCTGGGGTCACCCTCCCAGAGTTGAGCTCATGGTGGCTGAGAGCAGAGTTACGCACAGTGATCTGAAGGAGACTGGCATCATCACCATCACAGGTTCGGTTCTCCCCTACACCCTTTACCCTGCCTTGAATGTTCTAACTCAGTGATGTGAAATTTGGCTCCAGGAAGAGAAAGCACTGACGAAGCTGACTCAAACATCATTTCCCTCAAGAGTTACCTCTCATTGTAGATGTTGATTGGTCCCTTGCTCTTTTAAATAGATTAGAATGAATCCATCTTCCCCCATTCTGTCAGCTCTGAGACTCTGGTGTGACTGAGGCTTTTGGCCAAAGTTTAAGCAGTGTTGATGTGAATTTACTGGGTAATCTGGTATGGAGTTGCTGGAGACTGTTGTTGAGAGAGATCCCCACATTATTTAAAACCATGTCCTTCACTTTCAGCTTGATTCCAGAAAACTGTTCTTAGAAATTTGTGTATACATATATATATATAAACCATTTTTCAAATGCATCACGACATAAAGTGATAAAGTACATGAAGTACCTTGTACAGATAGGAAAGAAGTTGCTTGAAGAGCTAATGCTGGGCCTTCCTGGTGGCCTAGGGGTTAAGGCTCAGTGTTATCAGCATTGTGGCCTGAGTTTGATCCCCGGCCAGGGAGTGACCGACAGGACATAGGACATAGTGACCGACAGGACATAGTGACTGACAGGACACAGCAGACCTCTCCTCTCTTGCCCACTGCTCCTCTTAGCAGTATGTTTAAGCAAATCCACCTGTTTTGCTCCCCACTCTGTCTCTGGTGAATCCTCCTACCCACTGCACCTCTGGCCTACACCCAGCCCTCCCATGCAAAAAAAATAGCTAATACCTTTGCAGAAAAAAATCTTAGGAAAATTTAAAGGCCAATTTTCAATCACAGTTTCAGATTAAATATATAGATGCATACAGTGTATTTACATACTTCACACAGAGTATATAATGAATCATTTGGTACTCATTTTCTGATGGTTTGGTCTGGTATGGAAAGCAAACAAGATGCAGTTTTGGTAGTGATTTCAATAAGCCCCAGCCTTTATGACTCTTCCAGACACTGTCCAAAAGGTTGCCCAGTCCCCTTACAGTTAGGAGTGCCTGTGTTAGGAGTTCACTGCCTACAACTAGTTTGTAAATGTGTTCTTCCAGACCCCATTTTTTGGGAGAGGTCCTTTGGATAGATACCCTAGGGTATCCTGAGTATTCTCGTCTCCAGTTTTCTCTCACTTTCTGCCACCATGTTCATGGAGAAACAGTTCCTTTTAACTTGATGGACTCTATCCTCCAGCAGTTTCCTTAACTTTATGTGTATAATCAGTGTAACCATATAGTCTCACGTTTGGGGGGATTTTTTTTTCATCTTTTTATTTTAATAGTCGTCAACTGCTGTCTACTTCTCAAAAAAAAGTAGAATAGATAAGACAGGTACATTTACATTTTACTTTAAAATAACTTTTAATTGCATTTGAGAGTTAAACAGTTAGCTCTCATTCTAAACAACTTACTCTGCATATGGAGGAAAGTTACTGATTCTTTTTAATGAAACTAATTCAAAGTCCGAACATTGTTTTTCTCACAGGGCTCGTGCAGTTCGTTTCAGACAGGACAATAATGAAGCCGTTGGCGGATTCTTCTCTCAGATTGGGCAGCTATATATGGTGCATCATCTCTGGGGTATGTCTTTGTTCCCTGCATTTTTGTGTTACTGCAATTTCAGAATTCATAGTTAAATAAGTTGTATTATGCTGAAAAGCCTGTCTCAAGTCAAGAAACTAAAACACTGTTCCAATCCAAACATCACAGATGGAAGGTGAGTGCAGGTCTCTTGAATGAAAGACAGCGACAAAAGGTCCGTAGACCTTGTGGCCCCTTAGTGAGCGGTCACGAGAGTGAGGATACTGGTAAAAGGAGTACGAGGTGAGCCGTGTGGCCAAGGGACAGCAGCTACTGAGTTCCTTTCATGGACTGACTCCCTAGACAGGCCTGTTGCCCTGATGGACACAGTCACTTTACCCAGGGAGACAGCTCACGAAGCCCGCACACTTTGCGGCCTCTGCCTCTGATTCCACTGTCCCAGGGGACCTTCTCTAACCTTCCCACCCCCACCCACTTTTGTTTGGTGCCATCTTTGATGTCCTTCAGTATTTGACTCAGGTGTTTCCCCCTCTCCCCAAGGAAGCTTTACTCTCCCCCAGCCCCAGCCCTGTGTCATGCAGGTTGTCACAGTTGTGGCTGTTTGTGTCTGTCTCCCTGTTAGAACAGGAGCTGGATCTCAGTCCCTAAATACAGATTTCTTGCTATTCAAAAATGGAGCATTCTTATGAAATCTTCTATAAACCAACAAAGAAACAATTTATATGGTAAAATTTTTGAGTGTTCCCAGTCACACAAAGTAACACACAAAATCTGAAAAACAAAAAGCCCTTGAAACCTAAAATAACACTCATATAAGTAAAGTAGCAGGAATGATAAGAAAAGCACACAGCCTTTGTGAGCAGCTCTCAGGGTAGGAGCTCGGCAGCGCCACCCTCGCCGCAGAGGGCACACTGCCTGCTGCAGACCAGGCGCTGAACACTGCTTTTGCTTTCTGTTGCAAAAGCAACTATCTCTTGGGTTTCTTTCAGTTATCTAAACAGACAATTCAGGTCTTTCAGGAAAGCACAGTGGCATGACACAACTTTGAAAGAGCAGGAGCACGCCTGTACTGACAGTTTGTTCTGTGCGCGTTTGTACATGGCTATTAATGTTTCAAAAAGTCAAAGCTATCTTATTTCCAGACCATGTCAGTGAATTGAGGGGTTAGCCTGAGCGCTCTGGCTCTGTCTGCCTGCTGTGTTAGCTCGGCAGGCTTTCAGAGGCCGGGTAATGAGTCTAACGAAGGCTAAAGCAACCAGGAGTGACATGCCACAAAGGCAGTGTGTTGTATCCAGGCTACTCCCAACACCGAGAGGAATAAAGCTTGATGTCTTTGGGGAAAATCAGGAATAAGAGTATGAACTAGATTTCAGGACTGAGGTGGGTTGACAGGTAAAGGTGGGAAAGATGGGCTGGAATAGTGATAGAGACGTAAGTTCTAAAAAGCGCTCAGGAAATGACACAGTACAGACTTAGTAAATGGGCTATCTGCCAGGCACCAAAGTCTGAATGGGTTGAGGCAAGAAAATTCATTATTGGTGCTCCTGGAACTGTCCTCCCCCTAGACTTTCAGCCTCTGGGAAGGAGACCCCCATTAATCACTGCTTTTACCAGGTGCTCAGCTCAGCTGCAGTTACTGGACTTCATGGCATTTAAAAGTCTGAAAACCCCACATGATAGAGGCCATAAATGACCCTCAGCTCCACAGAACCTCAGGGCAGCTTTGTCCTAGGGAACTTAATTTTTCCTACCTGGCTGAGATTTGACTTGAAAGTGTCATTTTTAAAATAATGTATGGTCTCTCCAAAAGATATAAACTGAAGTCAGGCCCCTTCCCTTCCTCCCTTTCCTTTCAACATGGAGGGGCCTTGAGTGTGACTCCTACACACCCTCCTAGACCTCCATACACGAGTGAGCACAGGCACCGTGGGTCAGGCTTGCCTCGTGCTTTGGGTGATAGGCAGAGGCCATGCCATGCACATACTCCTTTCATATCAGTGTCTGCCATGTGCTGGCCAGGAACGCCAGGGAAGGACCTGGAACTGCCCACAGGCAGGCACCAGGGGGTGAGTGGCAGCGCTCTGACAGCCTGAGGGGAGCACAGCCTTCATCTGTCGTCATAGTCATGCCCACAGTGTCCCCTATCCATGCCTGCTTTATCAGAGCAAGTACTGAGAGATGCAGAAATGAAATCCCAATTGTTTGCCCCTCCCACACAAACCACCCTCACTTGTCTGTTTTTATTTTTTTAGAGAAAGAACCAACATTTTTCTATACTTTTAGTTGTTTTCCACATCATTCCCTATATTCTTTACAACTACCCGCCACCAATGAAGTACACAAGGTTCACAGTTTTATAAATCATGCAGAACCACAGCTGTTCAGGGGTCTCCATGTGGCTTACCGGTTAAATCTCAGCTCTGTCACCCCTACGGCCTAAATTTGATCGCCTGCCAGGAAGCTAACCTGCATGTGGCACAGAGACCATCCCTTCTCGCCCACTACTCCCCTTAACAGTGTATTTCAATAGATCCGCCTATTCTGCTCCCCACTCTGTTAAATCCTGTCAGCCCCTGCACCTCTGGCCTACATCCCTGTTCTTCTAAGCGAAAATAAGTAAATTAATAAGCTGTTCTGTAGCTGGGCCAGGCTCAGACTCCACGTGTCCCACTCCAAACCAGGTCTTTGCACAAAACCGCTTCCTTGCCCCCTGGCACTTGGTACCATCCCCTCCAGCCCTCAGGGTTCTTCTCCCCATATATATCAGCTCCACCACCATCACTAGAAGTGGCCTCCACTTCTCTAGTATTTGAACATATGCAGATGCCTCCCCCAGCCTAAATGTCCATCACTATATGAAGAGATGAACAAAACACAGTTTGTGCATACAATGTTCAGCCATAAAAAGGAACAAAAATTCCAATGCTGCTACAGCATGCACCTTGAAAACATGCTAAGTAAAATAACAGACACAAAAGGACAATTACACAATTTCATGTATATAAAGTGCCTAGAATAGGCAAATTCAAAGGCATTGTAGAATAGATGCCACAGGGATAGCAAGATCGGGGGGATTTATTAGAGAATAGAATTTTAATGGGATGATTAAAAGAGCTTTACAATGCATGTGTTTACAACCTTTGAGTTGTACATTTAAAAATTACTAAGATAGGCCCTCCAGATGGCACAGCTGGTTAGAGCACAGTACTGAGAGGCTAGAGCCACTTCCGCATGAGTTTGATTCCCGCCTGCCCAGAGGTGACCCACATGGAGCGGCAGACCTCTCCTGACCCGCCCGCTGCTCCCCTCAGCAGTGTACTTCGTCGATCTGCCTGTTCTGCTCCCCACTCTGTCTCTGGTGAAGCCTCTCACTGACCCTCAGCCTCTGGTCTGTAACCCAGTTCTGTATGCACAAGTAAATAAATCTTTAAAAAAAATTACTAAGATAAATTTTGTTAGGTATATTTTGATACAGCAGAAAAATTGATTCAAAAGGCTCCTCCAGTCTGTTCCTTGCCAAGGGGACCTGCCACACAGCACACTGGTGACACACTGATGCCATTGGGACTTTTCTTTGTTTTCAGCATCTTCATTCATTTTATATAATAATTCATAGTCCATAATAGTAGGGGGAAATTGCTAGCCCAACAGAATCTTCTCATAGGAAAAGGGAAGTCTCACGGGGAAAGGTGTGTCCCAAACAGAAATGGGACTAAGGAAGCCCTGGGTGGCGTTTAGTCTTGACTAGCACAGTGGCCCCGACTAGATGCCTGAGAGGCATTTCCTCTCCTTCCAGTCATTGAAAGGATCCTGGCCAGGCTGGGAATCAAAAACCAAGGCACCCAGTTATAATTCACCATTATCTGTGAATCATACCAGGTGACACCGAGGATTCTGGTACCTAGACCATGCTGTCCCCTCCACTGGAGCATTGTTCTCACATGTTCTGTGCTGATGACCCAAAACCAGCCTTCAGGACCCACCTGATCAAAGCACACCTTTCAAGCAGCATCTCTTCCTGCTCTCTCTATGAGCTCCATAGCAGGAATGATCCCCACCCATGCCTTTTTGTTCTCCATTGCATTGAATGAACACTCTCGTATCCAGTTTATTGTAGTGCTTTATAAATGGTGAGCAAAATACACTTTAATTTTGCTTATCTATAGTCTGACAGTTCCTAGTTATGAATTTAACATATTTTGAAGAAGTTCACTTAATTTGTAAAAATATATCTTGGAGCCCCTAGACTGGAAATTAAGAATGGTTTTGCTTTTCCCACAAGGCCTAACATAATTTTGCTTTGACTAACCAATTCAGTTTTCCCATCTTAGTGCTAAATTCCCCAAGTAGTATCTTTGAAAAAACTAGAGGAACAACAGAATAAATCCTTAAGGATATACTAGAATGTAAGACAGTATGTTTGATTTAAGCCTTACTTTTTCTGTGTGGCTTTTAAGCTTATAAAGATCTTCAGACCAGGGAAGATATACGGAATGCAGCATGGCACAAGCATGGCTGGGAAGAACTGGTGTACTATACAGGTAATATTTTCGCAGGCATAAAGTATTTTCCTTCTCATTGTCTTATGTTCTTTCACTGGTTGCTAAAATGAATTTTTTAAAAAGTATATTGCTCTAGGATGGTGAGTTATTATAAAGGAGCATGGTAGTCAGAGGCTTCTTTAATAGTTTTTTTCAGTAAAGACTGACATTATTTTCAAGTATTTACATTGTGTGACACTTTCCAGACATTTGCAAGTTATAAATTTTATTTCATCACTACTTTTTTATTTCTTTATTTGCATTTGTTTTACATCCGATACAGTGCCCATAGAATTCCCACCATCAGCTCCCGGTGCACCATCAGCTCCCGGTGCACCGTCACCTCAGCCCTTGTGCTCTGCCTGCCCGTGTTTTTTGCTTTTGTCCTCCCCCTCCCCTGCAGAATGTCTGTGATTTATAGCTGTCTTCTTATTACTGTTTATTTTCTTTTAGATGTTATTTTTTTCCCTGACCCCTTATTTGGTCATCACTACTTCTTTTTGTGGCTTTCTATATTCTCTGAAAAGTTCTTACACAGCTGAATTTTTTTCAAGCTTTTCCTTTCTCATCAAAATTGTCAGTTCTCATGAGCATTACATTGAAAAGTACATTGAAAATTAATTTGATATGTAGACTTTCCATGTGTACATATACATAATGTTCACTTGGATAGCACGCATACTACATATTTATATACTATGAAATCCCAGCAGCTTGATTTTTTAAGAAAATAACTGGGTTGAATACAACTCCACTATACTCATGTGGTAATAAGTGCTAACCACTTTGCACATCAAGTGCATTTAAGCCCATATGCTAGCCAAAAATAAAGAATAATTTATTGTAGAAAACAGGTATTATCTTTATATTTAAATTAGTCACTCAAGTGTATGTAACTTTGCTGCTTGTTCTTATACTTTGTCAGTTCTCAGAAGCATGTTTTGCTCAGCAGCAATAGTTATTTATAAGGACAGTGTTCTCTATTGTTTTGTCCAGGATACAGTCAACAAAACTATTACTTGGTATTATAAGTTCAATTCAAAAATGTTTCAAGAAAATGCTATTTTTGTAACATAAATTTTCCTAATTTTCCACAAGTTACAAGGAAGTCATCCCCAGATAGGATCTGCTTTCCTCTTACTAACATGTTATAGGATGCTAGCTGATCTATTGTTAGCCTGTGTATTATTGCCCCTGACATGAGTCCTGTTTACCTGTACCCTGTCTGATTTCAGCCTGTCTTCTGACCATCCTTAGCAACCTATATGATGATATGTGTTTACCATAATCTGTTTAGAAAAGATCAAGCACAGTAATCTTGGTCCTGTTTTCAGTCCCACTTATTCAGGAAATGGAATCCAGAATCATGATCCCACAGAAGACCTCACCCCTTCAGTAAAGCTACAGAATTTAAATGTGCCTACATAAATTTATGTGACAGGTATTTGTCAAGAATTTTAATTGTATGTCAAGTGAGAAACACTGAAGTGTGAACTGCTGTATATAGCTTACAAAAGACCTCTTTTCTTTAAAATTTACATCATCACAAGAAAGGAAACTATTACAGTTTGATTGATTGTTAACAGTGCTCTATAGTCCTCTTTTTGTCAAATATATCTTAAAATATTGAGCCACACCTCTCCCACCTCTGGGAAAAAGGACCCAAGGTAAAATTTGAATCATATCCAAATAAGAATCCAACCATGGGAAAAAAGTTAGCCTTTCCTTTATAAAAAGCAAATCTGTTTCGTAATCACAGATTTTTGGACAAATTTCTTGTATCAGGAAGAAATACAAATTTTGTCACATTTCTCTAGTATTTTTTCTGAGTCTAGTCTAGGAACAAATTATAAGTGTACCCATTATCTAAAAATGTTTTAATTATTCACTCTCATTTTAGATCAGTCAGTATAACAACCAGTGTGTCGTTACCAAGGTGGTGGTGGTAGTGGTGGTGGTGGTGGTGGTTGCCAAGGTACATTCATCCAGTGACTCAGTCTCCACATAGTATATTGTGATGTCTCTGTATGAAAGGGGGGAGATGGCTTCAAATGTGTATATCATATGTGATTTTGAAATGGACACCTTGAATAGCACTAATTTTTATTTGTAATATTTTTCTATAACAGGTAGCACTAGGAAAAGAGGTTTTATTTTCTAAACAATCATTGTGACTTCAGACATTCTCTAGTTAATATTCCAGTAAGCTCACAGCAGATATTTCTAAGATCATGTATAAGGGGTTGTGCATGTTGAGATTTAAATTTGGCATAAAGCTGCATACTTTGTCTAGCTGTTTTAGTTTTTAAATATAGTGTGCCAATTTTGTGACTCTAATCATGTGAAAATCCTGTTAAAATGAAAAATTGTGACTCCCAAATTAAAGAGTTCATGTGTTAAAAAAAAAAAAGTGAATAAATCTATCAAATGTCAGACTTTTACATGTGAATTATTTTCTCCAAAAATATGTCAATAAAATCCTCTTAATTTTCACATATTTCATGGCTATGCTTTTTTTTTTTTTATGAACTTGTGCAGAGAATGACTTTTGAAAATCAGAGTGAAAAATTAAGTCACCAGCCTCTCCCGATGGCCTTTGTAGGGTGTTGTGGGAAATGTGTGTCTTTGTACCAATACAGTGTCATGGTGTTGGGGGTGGTTCGGGCTGCCTACAGGAGAAAAGGCTCTTTCAAGGTATATAGACAAGGTACTTATTACTGTTTTTGGTTTTGAGTTCCTTAACTACAAAAATTGGAAGGCTGAATCCAATATCTTTAAAATCCTTTTAGCACTGAATTTCTGTAACTGGCTCTCCTAGTGCTGTAAGAGACTGTAAGAAAGTATACAGTAAGCTCTATCACAAAAAACCTGCATTTTAGCACCAGCAACTATGATCTACTGGAGACTTACACAGCAATTATGGTTTCTGAAGCTCTGTGACCTGACCTTTATAATGAGAAAGAGTATCTGCTCAGACCTCCTCACTGAATGCTGTGGAAATTGCAATTTTTCTTCTTAGCCCTCTTCTGCTGGACCCCATCATTAGTGCATAGCACATGTTTGCAGGATTGGATGAGCTGAAGAAATATTTATATGAAACTGCTTAAAGATGGTAGAATTCGTAGTATGAGTAAAGTTAAGCTAGCTATTTAGAACTGAAGAAAATTGCTGGGAACAGAGGTAAGTGAAGTGAGCCTGCAGAAAAAGTGAACCTTCACTCAGTGGTATGTTAGGGTTCTCCAAAGAAACAGGACCAATAGACTATCTTAAGGTACTTATAAGAGAATATTTGTTATAAGAATTGGCTTGCATAGTTATACTATCAAACTAAGCCATCAATAAGCTAAAGAACAAAAAAATGGTATAATTCTGTTCCAGGTCAAATGCCTATGAATAGGGAGTCAGACTCCCAGTTCCAGGTGAAAGGCCCAAGGATTAAGCTCCAGTGTTCCGAAGTAGAAGATGGACATCATACTCATTGGCAATCTGCTGTCCTTTCTGGACCACAGTGGACTGGATAATGTCCACCTGCAATGGTGAGGATGGACTCTTCACTTAGCCTACTCAATGAATGGCTAATCTCTTCCAGAACACCCTTTCACAGTGTCCCTTTGCTTTCTTCCTTTATATTCCTTCCACCTGAGTGAAATACAGTATTTTTCTTTCTCCTTTTTATTTCATTTAGTATAATCCCGCTCCAGTTCCAAAGTTGTCAAAAATATGATGGCCACCTCACTTTTAATTATCATTCATGTGGTAGTCCTAGCTTTCAAAAGCCCTCTTAGACCTGCTCTGAGCTCACCTCTAAACTAGCACTTGATAGAACCTGCAGCCTTTCCAGTCTCACCACTGCCTATGAAAGATTCTTTTTTTCAGTTCCACACTATACTTTTTCATTTCTCATTAAATTTAAAATTTATACTTTCAGTTTCTGGCTGGGGCATAGATGTTCAATAATATGCTTGATGACCCTGTAGAAGCTGAAGAGAGCGAAAAAAGATGAAAAGGAAAAGCGTGGTGGCTGTAAGTATTAATTAGAAAACACATGGGGCTGAAAAACAGGGCAGGGTTTTCATGCATATTTTATGCAAATTCTGGAACCCCTTAGACATTAATACACAGTCTAGATAAGCTCAGAGAAACAATTCAAAATATAGTTAAAAGTGTATTCAGTCTGAAACTGGAAAAATATTCAACAATCTTCTGTAAACTAAAATTAAGACTTTCTCCAGAGTTCAGGGACCACTAAAACCACTTGAATTTCTTGCAAAGGTCTTCTATCCTAGGGCATAAAATTCCATCTAGTGTATTATTATGTTAAGATTTGTGGTCACTGTTAATACGTATTAGCTTAAGGTGGATTCTCCTGTCCCCCTCTCCGTCCCCCCAGTAAATAGTTTAGTCATGCATGAGAAAAAGAACACTGTGGAGACACAGCCTTGGTTTCCAGCTCTTAATGTGACCTGGTGGCAGTATAAGCTTCAGTGAGCTTGTTCCCATCTGTTAGAAAAATAGGACGGCACTATCTATACTGCTCACTTGTGAGAATCATGAAGAAACCTGAAAACACCTTGGAAAATGGGACAAATAGCAGTGTGACGTGTGGTCATCACACTCCCAAGTTTTCTTTGAACCTAACCCTAAAGATTCCAAGGGTCATTGAGGCAAAAAGCGTCAGGCTTGTGCCATCACTTACTGAGGGCACTGGAATTTGTGGAACCTCTTCACCTCTGCCTCAGGTCTGGAATGCTGCCGCACTCCCCACAGGAGAGGGAACCATTAGGGCAGAGGTCAGCCCAGAGGGGAAGGGAGTCAGTAGCAACAAAGGCCAAGGGTTGCCTTCTTTTTTTTAGCATATATAAAAGCTTTGAGGGACTTATTTATTTGTTCAACTTCCATAGCAGGATAAACTTCAATTGAACTTTATGGCCCATTCTTAAAACTTTTTCTTTTGACATAGGCAGTATTCACACCATCAGAAAGTGGTATCCCAACAATAGGAAGCCTCACCACATTGCCACTGCTTCTCAGTCCTGTGCTGGTGTGAGCGTGTGCACAACTCCTGGAAGAGCCATTCTGTAGCCGCTTCCAGTGAGTCCAGAATTAGAAAAGCATGAAAGAGGTTGTTGCGTCATTTCAGACTCACCCTCCAACATAACAAAGAAGGGATTGTGCATGAAGCTTTTGTGCAGCTTGCTGAGCGCTGGGCAGCCTGTGGGCCAGAGGGGGGGTTGTCTAATTCACTTTTTTTAAAAAAAGGAAAAGGTGGTTCTATGTGGTTCAATTCCCCAGCAGATCAGACTCCTCTGCGCCAAATTCAGTCTGCACCTCCAGACCATTGCCCTGAGGATGGCAGGCTCTGACCTCCGGGTGAGGCCCAGCTCCCCAGGCCCCACCACCACCACTACCCCCTGCCCCTCCCCACCTCGTGGGTTGTGCGCGCTCTCTCTCACACACACATACACAGAGATGGTGACCAATGCTGAGGCTCTTCACAGACCTGGCGTGTCTGGTCCTGCCAGGAGCATAGCACTGCTGTAAGAGCAGCTCCCAGGAGAGCTGCCAGGGAGCATTCACAATTACGAAACAACCATCTTGTTGTTTGTGATCTTATTTAAATGTCACCGAACCTACTCCATGCCTCTCCTACTGAAGCTTTGATATTTAAGGAAATTTGATTCATCTGATTTGATTCTCTTAACAGATGATATGATCACATTTTATTTTTTTTTTAGATTATAAAAGTTTCAAATAATTTCCAATAGTAAAACCTTCTGGCCTTTTCTACTTAGTTATCCAGTAGTATCCTCTTCCTGAACCTTTCTTTATCCACCCAACTTTTCTGCCAGGGAGGGTATATAATCTACATTCAAAGCATGTTTTGAAATTTCCCTGTCTTGGCACTGCTCAGAATAAATATCAGCCTGGATTTCAGTTCTTCCCAAGTCACCTGTGAAAAAGAAATGGTTCACATGGGTGATTAGGAGTTTCATCTTCATTGCAGATGAGTAGAATTTTACTTCATGTGATTGTCAAATACCCAGTTTTGAAGGTTAGTACTTTTGTCACAAGCTCCTGTCAGTTTTTAAAAAGTCTTCCTTTGTACTGTTTCCTCTGTGACAAAGTCCAAAAGGTACCGAAGGTGCTTCCATCCACCTGGAGCAGGACTTTACTAGCTGGGGGTGGCCAGGGCTGTGGCAGGTCCCCCCTCGTGCCAAGCATTCTGCCCCAGCTCAGGGGTCTCCACTCCTTGGCTTTTTGCTGGGGGTTGTTTCTACTGAAAGTACTTGAAACATTGAATATTAAAATACATGATAGCCCTACTGAAAATTCCAAAACTTCGTTCTGATACATTGACAAACTTTTATTTATATAACAAAGAGGAAACCAATATTCACTTAAAGCTGCCTAATCCATGTTTTCAGTAGTAAAGATGGTTAATTTTCTATCCATCTTTCAAAGTCTTCAAATAAAATACAGCTAGGAAGACACAAGTCAGATTATAAAACTCTCCAGATAACTAATGGTCATAATACTCTTGGTTAACTATAGCTTACTAACAATTTTCTAGGAGCCCAAACTCATTTTTCTTGGAAGTCTAGCTAATCAGTATCAAATTTATACATTAAGTTATAATAAGTAATTGTAAGTAAACAGTATACAAACTGTATAACTCTGAAAAATTAACCTAAAATTATGAGTTGCAAAAAGCTGCTGCTACTCTTCCAGTTCTCGTAAGAGCTCCACAAAGTCAGTGATGTACCAGTCAGCGTTGTCCTTCACTTGCTGCCTGATCACATTTCCACCAAAGCCAATGAACACATCCTAAGAGGGGCCAAAGAAAAGAGGAGAATCGTTTTTTTTTAAAAGTCACAGCAGCCACCGAGGACAAAGTGTGTTGTCTGAAAGAAGAAACTGCTTATGCAGAGGGAGGTAAAGCCCAGCCTCACCAGACTGCCTCCAAGCTCCCTGAGCCTTCTGCAGGATGAGTGTTGCAGAACCTGGTCCCGTCCTCTTAAAACCAAGACAATTGCTTACCAAAAATAAAAAATCCCACAAGTCAGTGTTCTAGACTGACTAATCTCATCCAGGCCAGGCAACTTCAGACACCAAAGAGGAGCCTACAGCATAGTAAAATCCGAGTCCAGATCAGGACTGGGGCAGGTACCTCCCTGTCCAGCGCCCTAGATGACCCTGAGGGGCCTCCCTTACAGGGAAGGGTATTACTCCAGGCCAAAGGAGACAACAACCGCAGCATCTGTGGGTAACCCTTGTACTTTTCCATGTTAAATTTGTTTAAAGAAACATTGTTTCATCAGTTTCTACTACTATGTTCCTTTAGTGCGTGATCTTTTGAAATGGCATTTGCCTTTTACCACCAGGCTATAGACATGGTGGTACACTAATTGGAAATATAAAATTCTCACACTTGCTCTTTCTCTTCATTTTAATTTTCATACCATACAAGGGAGAAAAACAAAAACAAGCCTTACTCCCTCGTGAAATCTAGCCTCCTAACTGATCCCTGCCTGAGAACAGCTCTTGCACACCAGCACCAAAGCTGTGCTAGCCCACTGGCTCATTCTTTCTGTGCCAGAAGCTACCAGGGCTTCCCAGGACTGCAGGTTAACGCCAGAGTACCTGGCATGTGGGGTCTTCAGGGCTTGCTCCTGCCTGGTCCAGGACTGTGCCCAGCACATCCCTACTCTTGGCTGCTGCTCCCCTCCCTCAGGAGGCTGCTTCCCTTAAAGCCAGACTTTGGTGTGGTGGCTGCTAACCTTCCTGTAGGCCAGACTCCTCTGGCCACCTTTGAGGGCTGCACGTGCGCCACTTTCTCTTGGCTAAGTCAGGCCGTGTCATCTGCGGACCGGTAGGGTCACCTGGAATTGATGACTTTGCCACTTCTCAATACGGGGACTGAGCACTCCCCAAGAAAGCAGCACACTTCTGTGTATTTCTTATAAACTAGCCCACTGTTCATTAGTCAGCCACAGTTGGTAAATCATGTTAGGACATGTTATCTTGAACTGACTTAAGTATTGTCAAAAGGAACCCAAAAGATTCTTTAGCCAGTTTTCATTCATCATTTACAAAGACAGTCATTATTTTTAGATCTCTGTAAACTGGGTAGTAAAACAGTCACCACTATAATTTTGGCTCATTTTTCTTAAGCTAGAATAAAACAATAAAGGCAAAGCCCTACATGAAATGGACACATTTGCTCTTTAGAACATTTGCTATACAGAATTTGTTTCTGCTAGCCTCAGAAAGTAACATTAATTCAGCTAAGCACTTGTCAACCTCAACCAGCCTCAGTCACCAATCAGTAAAAAAGAAGACTTAACTTCACACAAGTCTCATTTAGGAAGCTTAAATGAGTTTGTGCTTGAAGAAATAGTTTATCAAATATAAAAGGACATTAAAGTGCTGGTTAAGTTTATAAGAACTGCATTATATCTGTGGTATTATTTGGGGAAGAGAGTTTGAATCTTGTTGAACACAGACTTTGGGCTAAGAGGTAGCAGCCATTCAGGGGTAAAGGGTCATTAGGTTTGAAAGGTTTTTAGTTCACTAAAACTCACAGTCGTCTATGGGCTGGCAAAAGGTCAGCTGACATACTGAGATTAAATTTGTTTTAGGTTTTTTTATATCTAGATGTTTCTGCCTTACTCTCATAAGTCTTCCTGTGTTCCAAATCAGCTACAAAGAAATGCAACCAGAATGTCCGTAAACGCCATACGTACAGCAGGGGGACAGGCTTCCATGTCTGTGGCTCCGTCTCCAATCATGACTATTTTCTTAAAATGAAATTTTTCCTTTAAAAACTTAATAACTTTTCCTTTCCCACCAGATTCGGCTGTGGGTTGCATCTCATCAAAACCTGCATATTCACCTGCAAAGAGCGGTTAAACAGTATTAGGAGACACAGGATCGAATCGGTAGGACCATCCCTTTACATAAATCACATCTTCACTTACCTGTCACTGCCAAGGCTAAAAAATTACCCTCAGTGGAGAGAGTGCCTGGACTTCCATACATATTCCTCAGGATAAACAAGCTTTGCTTTTAAATTCCAAATACCTCTTGTCAGTTTACTCTTTTAGGTCATAAACACCTTGAGATAAATTAGTTTTATCTTCTATGCTCCTTATGTAGTAATTCTCAAACCATGCTGAGATGGATAAACACCATGAACTAGTAATATATTAAATTTAAAGTAAGTTAATATACAATGTCATCTAAGAGATTTCAAATTACACTTGATCAATTATTTCCATTCTTAAAATTACCGCAGTCACTCCTTGCTTATTTTTTTTTTTTAATGCTCTCTATCTAAAAGCCCTTCAGAAGTGTTTACTAACACATTTAAAACCTTCAGGTTACTTAGTCTTAAGATTATCAGCCACCTCTTGACTAGCAGGAGGTGTCCTGAGATGACAGGAACTACACCTGTGACTGTGGTGACCCAGAGCGGAGACGGGTTCTGCAGTGGCAGCTCCAGTGCAGGGAGGTGCCAAGCTAGCTGTCCTTCCTGAGTCCACACTGCTAGCTGTCCTTCCTGAGTCCACACCGACTCACATACCAGGGAGCCCGCGTGAAAGTGAGGCACGCCACACCACAGAGTAAGCCGTGGGGGTCCCGTGGGAATCAACACTTTCTTAAGTGTGGACACCACAGCTAGGGCTGATGGCGACCTCAGCCTGCCTTCCAGGACCAAGGGCAGTGAAGAGCAAAAGTCAAGATAATCATTTATCTCAACACCAAACTCAGAATCTAACACCTCGCTTAAGCTGCATTCCAAGCTGCATTCAGACTTCACCCAGAACACTGCAGGACTGGCAAAGAAGGAAAAAATGTAACCACTAAAGCATTACCATTAAAGTAGAATTTCAGCCTGTTGGCAAATACATTGGTTGGTGGGATATTGAGCTTTGAAGCAACGTGTTCCACGATGCTCCTGAAGCCACCAGATATCAGGAAAACCTGAACATTTCGCTCCTGTAGGCGACTTACAAGCTCCCTGTAAAAATATATAAATATATAAAATACCAAACTGATACAAAAGAGAAAACATGAAAGACAAAAAGGAATCTAAAACATATTTTTCCTACTGAATGTGTCTGCCAAAGGTACAATGCCTGGTGAATAACATTGTGTGTTTTTCTACTTGCACCTAGCAGGGAACGGGCGGGACCTGCGCTGGGAGGCCATTCCACAACTCTCTTCCGCCCGTGTGCCCAGAAAGACACGTGAAGAGGCGCAGGCTCCCCCTGGAGGGGGAGGCAGACATGGGAGGACCCAACCAGCCAGACAATACTGTTTTCCAGTTCTGACAGGGCCTCCAGAAAGGAGCCCTGACAATGAAGGGAGATATACTCTCAGCGGGCACACCCCGACACAGGCTGAAAGGAGACGATTCTCAGGCCAAGGCTCCACTTACCTTATGCCTGGGGTCAGGTGTGGTGGGTGCTCCGCTATAAGCCTTTGCACCTGCTCCCTGGAGGGCTGGATCAGAGCTAAGCGCTCTGTGAGCGCAGCCTTGAAAGGCACCGCCCCACCCATGGCACGCCGTGTCCTAGGAGGAAGACCCCATAATCAGTCCAGCCAAATCAAGGGTCTTCGAAGTTTACACACCAACCCAGCTCTTCAGCATCCACCCAGGAGGGAGGTGCTAAGGCCCTCGTGTGCAACAGACACACTATGACACCACAGGAGCGAGGTTGGGAAGCACTACCAAAGGATGCGTGATACTAATACTCTGGAGTCATGTCCTTCAAATACGCCACAAATACGCCACCCAGTGATCTCTGAAAACCACACGTACTGCCCACAGGACCTTCCTCAGAAGCCATGAACTTTTGCTCAAATGCCAGGTACTCTCACCTCAAATGTAGCTGAACCTGAAAATGGCCCACAAGCTGGTGACAGCTGGAGACCCTAGGGAATGGGGCAAGGGAAGTGCAATCACCCTGGCATCCACTGACAGCTGAGAGGCACCAACTCAGAACTAGCTGCCTGCCAGCAAAACACTAAGGCCACCACCTAAAACCAGTGAGCTCTGGGGCACGCCCACACAGCCTTCTCTTACTGGGTATGGCCTCTGTTCCCTCCAGGCTAATGAGACCAAGTCTTAATCACATTTGCTAGTCAGAGGCAACTTATTTTTTGCCATAAATATTTGCATAAATGAATGATTGGCTATCATATACTATTAAATTCAGCTCTTGGGGATGGACTAAAAATCTGGTACCCATGTTTAATAGCTAAGGACTAAAATCTGGACTCTGATTCAGCACAACATCAAAAGTCACTCCCTTCTGCACTCCTTTATCATTCCATAAAGTATATCAATAGCATAAAAGCTGTTCCTACATTTCTGACACAGCATCCTCAACTCCACAGTACTTGGCCAGCTCATCAATTCCTTCTTCTCTGATGACTGTGCTGTCAACATCGAAGCACACTGCATCAGCTGAACAGAAAAGTTTCCTCAACTCTGAGTGGGAGACCATCCTTGGAAGAATTTTCCTCCTATAATAGAAAAAGATAAATATATTTAAAAATATAAAATATAAGAAGATCCAGTTTTGCCTACTAATGCCAATTAACATACTTCTGTTTCTGTCAGCGGAGGCTACCTAAGCATCTTCTTGCAGACTCATTTGTCTTTTTTGTTGTTGTTTTGTTTAACAAAAATTAAGCACCTTCTACATTTTAACACTGAGGTTACAAAGATGACAGGACCCAAATTGCTCCCAGGAAGTCAGTTACGTGAAATAACTGCTCGTGATGAATTTGATGTTCAACTGCCACTGGTGAGGCAGCACAGCAGTGAGGCAGTGTTAAGTGGAAGCGTAAGGTAACGGGGCACAGAGAAGGGCTCGCTCAGCTCGCAAGAGAAGGGCTTCCGGGAGGAGTGGCATCTGTGCTGAAATCTTGAAGAGAAGTAGCCCCAAGAGTGGTTCTCAAACAACAGCATTGATTCTGTGTGTGCTGGGGGCTGGGGAGGGGAGGAAGGCGAGCAGGGGCTCTTGGTGCAAAGGGAAGAGCCTGGATGAAGGCGAGGAGCGCAGCGGGCGATGAGCTGGGAGTTCCCCGGTGGGCCAGTCCAGTAGTGTGTGAGGAGCTCCACATTTATTTACAATTTAAATTTAAAATTGAGCATCCATAAATAGAGTTTCACTAGCACAGACCATATTCATTTGTTTACATGTTTACAGCTGCCTTTACATGAAGCAGAGAGATTGAATAGTCATAATAGAGACAGTATGGCCTAAAACATTTATCATCTGTCCCTTCACAGAAAAAAATCACTGATGACAGACTCTTGTCTTTAGTTCTTAGGAGAAAATACTCCAGTTAGGAAACATGAGTTTCACTAGAGCCCCACCAAAAAGGAGTGAGAGTAAATTAATAAATCCAGTTTAATAACTGAATCTGCACCAATATTATCAATCTGAATGTGAATGAAGATTCTGTTCAATAGGAAACTGGGGTGGGGCAGGGGGCGAATACTAAACACATAGACTTCTGGTCTGCTTTCTTCCCCATCATCGTCTTGTAGAAGCTGATCCTTCAAGGGACAGTGACTTCCCAGCTCACATACTTCCCCCTCTTGGGGGATTTAAGTTCCTGTGCTGTTTGGTCCTCATCTGTTCTCTCAGCGTTGCAAATGACCTACAGCCCGTGCTTGGTGCTCTCTATACTCACAATTTTCATGAATTCCTCCAGGTTCCTCCTGGCTTAAATGTCATCTCTATGACAGTAATTCCCAAATGTGTACCTGCAGCCTAGCTTTGTCTTCCTAAATGTCTACCTACCTGACCCCTACTCAGATGTGTAGTAAACATCCCAAACTTAACATGTCCAAAACTGAAAGTCCACCTTTCCTTCTTCAAAATCTGCCATTCTTGCCAGTCTTTCTCTCTTCTTTGGTGGCAAGTCCATTCTTCAATCACTCTTGTTTCTCTTCCTCTCAAATCCCACATCAAATCTTTCAGGAAATTCAGTTGGTTACCCTTTAAAAATCACCAAAAGCTGACCACTCCTCCACACAGCCACTGCTTTTCCTCTAGCCTAAGTCACCACTATTTCTTGTCAGGATTGTATCAAAAGCCTCCTAAAACGGTCCTTTGCCCCAGTGTTTGTCCTTAGCACAACAGCCAGAATAACCATTGTAAAGCTGGAAGTCAAATCATGTCACACCTCTGGCTCAAAGCCCTTCAAAGTCTCCTCATTTTACTAACCAAAACTTACAATAATTACCTGAGGTCATCCCCCAAGCCTGGCGATGGCACCAGCAGTACCCTCACACCTTTCCTGCTCCCTCCCGTTACATGTCTGGCGTCATTCCCTACGCCTCTCCCCTTTGTCACTCTGCTCCAGTTATGCAGGACAAGCTCCTCGCTCAGACACCACTTTGTAAGAGTTTGGTCAACTTCCTCAGCAAGAGTTTGCCCAAATATAGCACATCCTTCAGTGAGCCATCTCTGCCTGCCTCGTGTGTCACTGCAGCCCCGCCCCTCCATCAGCAGCAACAGAGGGAGAACCAATCACCCTCAGAATGTTCTGCTTTCTCTTTTCTTTGTAACATCATCTACCAAAATATGATCGTATTTATGCACGTATGGACTATCTGCCCTAATGAGAAAGTCAGTTTCACAAGAGTATGATCTTTATCAGTTTTGTTCACTGTTGGATCCATTGCATGAGGACAGTACCTGGCATAAGTAGGACTAAAGTTCGGTCAAATTTAGTGAAACAATAAAGCACAAACGCTGTCTTTGCTAAAAGTCTTCCCTGATTCCCCTGAGCCAGTGTGGTCTATCCATAAACCATACAAGAATTGGGGTACAGGCCAGAGGTATGGGGGTAAGAGGATGCACCAGAGACAGAGAGGGGAGCAGAACAGGCACACTGAGTGAAATACACTTCTGAGGGGAACAGCAGGTGAAACAGGAGAGGACTGCGTACACCACGGGGGCCAGCTCTCTGGCCGGGGATCGAACTTGTGTGTAGTGGCCGCAATAGCTTGACAGTACTGAATCTCCAAACACTTTCACCACCAGGTAGGCCCTCCATAGATCTGTTTTTAACAATGGAATTAATAAAACTCCAATTTATCTTAAACTTATTTATATGCATATCACTTCCATTCCTGAACTGCAAGCTCTTTATACTAAGATCCACATTTTTACAATTACCTGTTTTTGACTCAAGTTCTGGGAGTTGAATGAATAAACTACATAATTGTGAATTGCATACCATCAGTAACTATTTTTTTAACTTTTATTCTGGAAAATTGTAAAATTTCTACAAAAACAGAAAATGTGAATGTGTAAACTTTCATGTTATCAACATCCCACTTCAACAATTATAGCAAATCTTGCTTCAACAACCACACTAAAATGGTTCTATACCCCAGTTCCCACACGGGAAGGGGACAGTTCCCACACATCCAACCAATTCTTGAGCACCATCAGAATGTCCGACAATTGGATTCTAACACCACCTGCTCTGAGATAACATCAGACCTCAAGGATTAGGGGTTCAGTCCCGCAAGACTACCCCACGCACACACTTCAGCTGCCACTCTCAAGTCTAGTTGTCACCTGGGCTTCTGACAAGCCAGCTACAGCCAATGACCCTTCCTTCAGTTTGATTAATTTGCTAGGGTGGCTCACAGAACTCAGAGAAACATTTTACTCACTGGATCACTCGTTATTATAAAAGGGACAGATGGAAGAGACCCACAGAGCAGGGGATGTGGGAGAAAGTGGTGTTGCCACGCCTTCTCTGTGTGTACCCCAGAGCTCCACTTGTTCATCAACTTAAAAGCTCCCTGAGGCCCTCCCTGGTGGTGCAGCAGGTTAAAAACCAGCACTAAGAAGCTAAAGCCACCTTCAGCATGAGTTCAATCCCCACCCTGGAGGTGACCACATGGCGGCAGACCTCTACTGACCCACGGCCCACTGCTCTCCTCAGCAGTGTACTTAGTCTGCCTGTTCTGTTGCCCACTCTGGTGAATCCTCTCACTGCCGCTGCACCTCTGGCTGTACCCCAGTTCTGTATGCGTTCATAAATAATTCTTTAAAAAAAAAAAAGCTCCTTGAACCCCATCCTTTGGGTCTTTATAGCCGTGTCTTTACAAAGGCACACCTTATTAAACATTGGTTCTTGGTGGTTTGACTCAACCTCCAACCCCCTCCACTTCCCAGAGGTCAACCTCTGGGTTGTGGGTGCCTTTCCAGGCAAACAGCCCATCCTTTAAAGAGTTCCAAAGTCATTCATTAACATAACAAGGGATACCTTTACCACTCTTATCACAGGAAATACCTTGAGCTTTTAGGGACCCTCTGCTGGAAACCAGGGCAAAGACCAAATTACTTATTTCTTATAATAAATCACAATATCACATCCACACACTTGTGCCATTATTTTACAAATCATGCCATTATTTTACACAAAAAAAATTTCACACAAATATGTATTTCTAAAAGATAGGGTTATTTTGCAAATATAATTTGCAGTTTAATTAATTTTAACTATACTACTATAACTGCCTATATTTAGGTTTGGCTGCTGAGGAGTCTAGAATCAAATCAGATTAAGACTTAATCATATCAGTACCTGCTCATAGCAGCACATTAATTAATATAATATCTATTACTCAACTCATTTATATCCTTCATGATTGGATCCTCTCTATCTCACCAATCTATTCCCCACTGTTCTTCTCCCCACAAAACACACACACATACACACACAATTTATGGTCAAGGAATACAAAGGACTTCTCATTCCTCAAATAGGTCATGTTTTTTTGTTTTTTTTTTAAGATTTATTTATTTATTCATACAGAACTGGGGTACAAGCCAGAGATGCGGAGGGTGAGAGGATTCACCAGGGACAGAGTGGGGAGCAAAACAGGCAGATCAATGGAGTACACTGCTGAGGGGAGCAGCAGGTGGGTCAGGAGAGGGCAGGCGGGGATCAAACTCATGCGGAAGTGGCTTAAGCTTCTTAGTGCTGTGCTTTAACCCTCTGCCACCAGGGAGGGCGGGTCATGGTTTTTTATTCCTCTCTACTTTTGCAATTGTTGTTCTCTCCACCTGAAATCATCTCATACCCCAAACCTAATGGAAAAATTCATACTTATTCTCCAAAGTGCTAATCAGATGACCTTCCCTATTCACACTCTTTCCTTCTTTCCCTTTCCCAGTCAACAGTGGGCTCTGTGCCTAGCACAAGACTTGAGAAGTACAGAATACAGCGTCTGCAAGAGGCTCCCAGTTTCACCGAGGCAGTCGTGACATCTCACCGAAGATGAGCCATAGGGGCTCCCACTCAGAAACTCTAGAACTGGAGTCTCTTTCCAACTACTAATACCAGCAATCGCTCCAATCAGGCCCTGAGCCTCAAATATGAAAGGAAACATCCACCTCCTCAAATGAAGTAAAGACTGATTTCCACATCCCCAGGTGGACACTAGTTCTGACTTATGCTGACACCAACTCTGACATTGCACCAACACCCCAAAGATAGAGAAAAATGGGGTGTTTGCGTCAAATGTGACATTGCACTTATTTGGAAGGCTGATTTGTTCCCTTGTCTTCCCTAACAGATAGAAGTTGGGTATGTGTTCTTAACTTTGCCCGTGAAATGCTCATGGCAAGGAATATGTTCTCCACCCCAGCGTTGCCTGGGTTTCAACAACCCTTGGCCAGATGGCAGAGCACACAACCTTGGCTAACTCTAATACTTCCCCACCTCTAGAAAAATGATCTTCATTCACTTCTGTTCCCTCTTTTTTTATTGTCTCACAATTCATATATATTCAAAACTTTCGGACTGAGGGGAAATCTGCTGAGCAAGTTCAGTTGCTTCAGAATAATTGTGTACATTAGAACTTCACACAAAGAAAAATCGTTGCTGGAGAATGGACTTTGGATCCCTTGGTGGGAGGCAGAACTAGAGGTAGAAGAGACCTTGGTGGCAATCTGTGCTTCCACCTGGCAGCCCCAGGCCCAGTCTTGAACACTGGACCACTCTCTTCTGCTCAGAACAGGACCCCCCACCCATCTAACTCCCCCACTGTCCTGACCACACCACTGTTGACCACCCCATCTCACCCCACTGTCCCAGCTCCACAAGGGAGTTTTCTTTCAGGGCCAGCCTTACAGGGCTGATTTTGGATACAAGGGGAAACCTCTTCACTCCAGCAAATGCACAATCTATTTCTCCATCTACAAATCTTGGAAGAGGCATGTAAGATCATCTTCACCAAGCCCCTTTTGTTAGGACTGACCTCTTACCTTCCCATGTAAGAACAAATAAAAACTGGCACAGAGGTCATGGGGGTCAAACACAGCTGAAAGAACAAAGCTCCCGGGCTTAGACAGGCGCCACCTGGGCCAGTTCTGGGGCCATGAGGGATAATGTTTGTACCAAGTGGCCCTCTAGATGCTGAAACAATGCAAGTGGCCTCTGAGAAGCTCCTAGATTAGAGTCAAAGAGTCTCCCTATAATGAGGACTAAGGTCTGTGGCCAAAGCACTTACAGTACATTTGATGATTAAAAAAAAAAAACACCTGTTCTTCAGGGACCCTGAGAATTACACATACCACAGAGTTTACAGAAACCAATTTTTTCCCAGTAAAAAGTAAGCTGCTAACTGATACACAAACATCTAACAACAACAATAGAAAAACTGGACTCACGTTTCTCCAGTGCTGGTTTCCTAGGAGATGGATTCTTCTCTTCCTGCTCCTTTCCTGAATAAAAATGCAGCATAAAATTCTGACTATAAATTTCTTATCTTAAGAAAGACCTTGCATGTTCTGCAAGACCAAGAAAAGCCTAGAAAGAGAGAACAAGAAAATGAACATCAAGGTCTAGATACATGAGAAGAAAGAGGGAGATGGCTTCACGCCCCCTTGTAGTGGAACAAAGAAGGGTCAGGTGCAGGTTTTCCTGAGACTGCTGCCCAGTGAAAAGCCTGCCGTCTGCCTCCCGAGCAAGGCAGAGGAGGAAAGCCACTTTTTGTGGCTTTGATTCTGCAGAAGCTCCAGGTCTGATAGGAAATCACCAAAGCCTGAGTAAAAGGCCCAAGGAGAAAGACAAGAGACTCTATTGGGAAAACAACATGAAGATACAGAGAAGCACACTGAAGTGCGTCTCAGGCTCTCTCAAATAGTCCCTGTTATGTCAGTGGCATCCAAAATTTTTCACAAGAGTCCTCTGCCCAGTGACAAGGGAAGGGAGGCAACAACTCAATTAGAATCTAGACAGACATGGATACAGATGCCAAAAGAAAGGAAAAATATCTATGAGAAATAGGTAAGAAAATAAGGCAAGAAAAAAGCAAAATAAAGATTCGAATAGAAGGAAGCCACAAAAGTTACTTACAATAAAATAAATACATAATTCAGACAGCTCAGAAAGAGTTCAGTGTGCCCTTTTTCTCCCTCAAGTTGCACGGGCTAACCCTCCTGTGAAGGAGGGCGAGCACAGGCGTACTCCATGCCCTACACCCGAGGGTGCAAGTCGAACACGTTTCTTCACACTCCGCCAAGCGTGACTGGCTTCCATGCAGGTTTCCTGAATTCCTCTCCTCTACCAGCCAGGGAGAGCTGTCCACTGGACTGAGAAGAGCCAGGACAACAAAGGAATGTTTTCATTTTTCTTCCTGAGTCCAGCTTACTCTTTTTCCTATACTATTTGCATCTAAAAGAGAATCATTTGGGGCCTCCCTGGTAGCTGAGAGGTTAAATCTCAGCACCATCACCACTTTGACCTGAGTTAGATCCCAGCCAGGGAGCTGACCCACAAGGTGCAGCAGATCTCACTGGTCTCACCCACGGTTCCCCTCAGCAGTGTATTCAATAGATCTGCCTGTTCTGCTCCCCACTCTGTCTCTGGTGAATCCCCCCAGCCCTGTACCGGTGGCCTACACCCCAGTTCTTCTATGCATAAATAAATAAATCTTAAAAGATAAAAGAGAATCAGTTTATCAAGGCCTGCCCAATTCTCTTCTAATTTGAAATTTATAGATTGCTACTTGACATTCTTTATTTGGGCAAAACTAAATCATTTGAAAATTTTAAAAGTTCCTTCTATTTTGTTTCAACATCATGAAAATAACAGGACTTTGAGCATTAGTGTATCAAAATCCTACCTGATAGCTACAATAAAATAATCTTAGAATTTATATTCTTCCCAGACCTGCTGTAGTTGATGCCAAAAGAATTCACTCCAAGTGAATCAAGACATCAACACAAAAGATAAAACTATAAAACTTCTAAAATATAGGTGAAAATGTTCACCTTCGTGGCAGGCAGCCTCTAAAATGGGCCCCAGGAACCCCCTCCAGGGTTTCCCACCCTCTCAGTAGCCTCCCCTTGGTTGTGGGAGGGATTTAGTGACTAACAGTGAATTGAATGAGGCAAAGGTCACAGGATCACTTGCCAGATTAAACTGTAGCACTGATGAGTGCACACATACAGTGGCATCTTAACAAACTCCATGGACTGTGCCAGTATCAGCTCCTTGAGATGTTGACCTCAGGGGAAGGGTCATGAGGGAAGCAAGAGTGAATGAAAACTCTCTGTGTGTATTTATTTGCAACCTTGGAATCCATATTACTTCAAACTATTTCACAATAAGTGTTTGTTTTTTTTTAATGAGTTAAAAGAAAGAAAAAAAAAAAAAAAAACAAGAATGTGGCTCCCATCTTGCTCTGAGCTGCTATGTTGGTAGCTGCCCTAGAAGTGAGGGAGCCTCCAGCAAACTCAGTAAAGAACTGAAGTCATGGTGCAGGACCCCTCAGGGAAATAAACCCTACCACATGCGAGTGTTACTTCAAAAAATGGTTTTAAAAAAAGGGACAAGCCACAAAATGGGAGAAGATAGAAATACATATGCTTGTCAATGGATCTATATCTGGAATAAACGACTCTTAGTAAGACGAATGACCCTTTAAAATGTGAGCAAAAGAGTTGAAATGACATTTCATGAAAGATAAGCAAGTTAACTAAAAAATGGATGACTGAAATAAAAAACTGCCAATATGAAGTATTGGTGAGAACATGGAATAACTGGAATTCTCATACATTAACTGGTGAGCATGTAAAATGATGCAGCCACTTGGGAAAAGTTGTGTAGTTTTCTGTAAAGTGAAGCATATACTTACCATAAGACTCAGCAAGCCCAATTCTAGAGATTTAGCCAAAAGAAATGAAAACTTTTCACAGCAGCTTTATTCATGCTAGCCTCTAACCAATAACAACCCAAGTGTCCATCAGCAAATAGAGGAATAAATTGTGATATATCCCACAGTGTAATCCTGCTCATAATAAAAAGTGATGAGTTACTAATACAAGCCACAACACTGATGAATACAAAAAACAAATACCTTGTATTTGGCTTCTTTGTGACCAAAGAAGCCAAATACAAGGTAGTACCTACTGTTTCCTTTATATGAAACTCTAGAAGATACAAATTCTATGACAAAGATGAGATCAGTAGCTTTGACTGTAAAGGGGCTCTTGGAAACTTTTGGGCTGATAGAAGAGTTCCATTGTGGTGGTGATTACAAGTAAATTTATCAAAATCCATACTTAAAATGTGTGCACATTACTGCATTTAGTTGTAGACCAATAAAGAAATGTTAACTTAAAAAGTTATTAAGGGGGAGAAGGAGGGAGAGGGATCAAAAGGAGGGAGGGATGAGCACAAGGAACTATGGTGATGCACAGGTGAAGTGGTGGAAATTCTATGGGGACCACACCTGAGAAAAGAAAGCAAACATTGAGAAAAACAACAAACAAACAATGATATAAAAATATATAAATAAAGTTAATAAGGGCCTCCCTGCTGGTGCAAAGGGTTAAGTCCCAGCACTACCATGAAGCCATTGGCAGTGGATCACTGGCCAGGGAAGTGACCCAATTGGCGCTGCAGTTCTCTCCTGACCGGCTGGCTGCTCCCCACTGTACTTCATTGATCTGCTGCGGTATGCCCCACTCTGTCTGGTGGCTCCTCTCACCCCCTGCATCATTAAATTATTTGAAAACTTAACATGTCCCAACCACTTTCCTTCACCAATATAAAAGTGATAGGACTATGACATTATCATTATTATATCGAAAGCCCACTTGGCAGCTATAATGAAATACAGACATCATTAATTTTATAATTTTCTTCGCAGATCCTCATTCCAGTCGCAATCAGTCAAATATTTAAAGGGTAATTTATAACGTGCAACTCCCACATAAAGAAGATATAGTAAATAAATTCAATGAATGAAAGACTTACTTAATTCCCAACTTGAAGTTTAACCTTTACAACAGTACACTTGTGGAGTACTTATTTATAATTCTACTAAGAAAGAAGGTGACAGCGTCAGGCTCTTCAACTCTGGAGACGTTCCTGACCTTGTACCTATGGTTCTCCTTTGTACGATTGCATCATTCATTCATGCTATTTAGTAACAGGCGGCAACAGAATAAAACAAGTGAAAATTACTCAAAAGTCAACTGATGAAAGAAAGCCTTGAAATCCCATCAAATATATTACCTACCAAGATGAAGGTTAGAATCACAGAAGCGCTGCATGTGGAAAAGGCAGACCAGCAAATCAGAATGTTGGACACACAGATAAACACGCGCGGGGACTTACCCCGGCGCTGCTGCTCCTTCCGGGCCGGGCCGGGCCGCCGCCGCCGCCTCCAGGACTCCGGGAGCTGGAACCGTCCGACTGTAGAGGGGCCAAGGACTGGCTCCGACGTCCAGCGGGGGGAGGAGACCTGTGCAGACCGGCAGTCTTTACCGAGCAATCGGATGAGATCTGCTGATGCGTGCGGTGGCTTCTGGTCGGTGTTGCAAGTGCTTTCCTAAACTGGAGACCGCATATCTTCGCTCTGCAGAGCCGGGCTGGGAAGAAGCCCTTAGCCCCGCCCGGGGCGGGGCTCCCGGAGACCGCCTGCCCCTCCCTCGGGGGCTCATTGCCAGCGAGCCCAGACCCGAGCTCTGCGGTGCACGCTTACGCGAAAGCACCACCTCCACCTCTCCCTCTCCCTGGAGGAACACCGGAGCTTCCCACCTTCAGGACCTCCGCACGCCACACTTGCGGTAAGGGAACGTGAGTGGAGCCACACTTGCGGTAAGGGAACGTGAGTGGAGCCAGGGGGCCTCTCTCTACTCATGTTGTATTTAACGAAAAGACCTTAAGGGACTTCTGTGAAATCCAAATCGAGCATTGTGAATAGGATTGTAGACCCCAAAATAACTTTAACGAGAGGAATCTTTGTACCCCTTTTCTAGTTTTGTTTTGTTTTGCCATTTATTTCCTTCTAGATGTCATTTATTCAGCTATTTTATGTTTGCCTACAACAAATAAGGAGTTTTTACTTTGGGACACAGCTGTTGAAGCAGGGCAGTAACTGAGTCAACTCTGAAACAATACCTGAAGCCTCAGGGGTAGAGAACCAGCTCTTCAGCTACCTCTTAGCTGGTCACTGAGGACATAATTACAGGACACTTTGGTCACAGCATCCTTTAAAAGCTGTTTCTATCAGTAGATAGATAGTGCTGATGGTCTTTGGCTAGATGTAGGTTAGAAGCTCATTCTCTGATCTCATTAGTAAGAAAATGGTTGCAGGTTTGGGACGCACTAGGGCAATGCAGGTTAACAGGTGCATGAACACCTGTCATGAGACAGGTGGAGAGGCTGCTTCCGGCAAAGACCAGTAGCATTTAGTGCTTCAGTATCTCCGGCTTCATCAGGTCTTCTTACACAACCCACTCCGAATTTCACGATGCTATTCCTTCATTCGCAATGCCATCCACTTTAGCTGCAGATTACGTCTGTGAGACTGAGTTCAATTTGCATTGTAACTCACTCACATGAGATTCTAGGTTTGGTTTCCAGCAATCTCTGCAGCTACAGGAGTGTGGGTCTGTTAAAAATAGCCTACCAGGCCCTACAAAGCTCCTTTGAAGTTAAACAAGAGCAGGACTCTTGGTTGCCCTAGGGTGTGACAAGGTTGGGGGGGGGATAGGGAGGGCAGGCATTAACAGATGTACATTTCATCGCAGAGACTGATCAGTGGAAAGCCTCCCTAAGAATGGAACCATGGGTGGGGGTCTAGAGTATGATTTTACCTTATTAGCTGACTCACCTTCCTGAGGCCCATCATAGTATTTTCTGTTCGACCCATCTTGTTCTGTTTTTCCCATCAATAGAAAGACCAGGATCAGGCCCTCCCTGGTGGTGCAACACGTTAAAGCACAGCACGAGTTTGATTCCTGGCCAGGAAGGTGACCCACATGGCATGGCAGACCACTCCTGTCTCAACCGCTGCTCCCCTCAGCAGTGTACTTCGTTAATCTGCCTGTTCTGCTCCCCACTCTGTCTCTGGTGAATCTTCTCACTGCCCCTGCACCTCTGGCCAGTTCTGTATGCATAAATAAATAAACCTTTTGGGGGGAAAAAAAGACGAGGATCTTGTTTTTCAAGCAACACACTGCATTGTACAGCCTGCTCCACAACTCCATTTCCTTTATTTTAAAAAGATTTTAATTATGCATATAAGAGCTGGGGTGCAGGAGAGAGGTGAGGGGGTGAGAGGATTCACCAGAGACAGAATGGGGAGAACAGGCAGCTCTACTAAAATACACTGCTGAGGGGAGCAGTGGAGAAGAGAGGAGAGTTCTGCTGCACCAAGTGGGTCACCTCCGTGGCCAGAGATCTGTTAGTGGGTCATATCCCTGGCCAGATGTCAAACTTGAGCTGCAATGACTACAATTAGCTTCATAGTGCTGTGCTTTAACCGCTTATGCCACCCTCAAAGGGACCCATCAAGAACTGGGGTACAGGCCAGAGGTGCAAGGGGTGAGAGGCAGAGTGTGGAGGGGAGCAGTGGGCAAGACAGGAGAGGTCTGCTGTACTGTGTGGGTCACCTTCCTGGCCAGGGATCGAACTGGTGCTGCAATGGCTGTGGATAGCTTCATAACGCTGTGCTTTAATCCCTTGCACCACCAGCAAGGGCCTATATATATATTTTAAATATATATTTTTAAATTATCTTAAGAGGTCTTACCTATGAGAATATGCGATCAAAGTGTTTTAGTTGTATGTTTGTTTCTTTAGTAAACTGGGAAGTCTTTGAAGAAAAGGATCTTCTCTTTTCATGTGTAATTTCCCCCAGTATAGTACTTTGTTACGTGGTAAACACTCATAGAAGGAATAGGCAAGAACTGAGGAACACTAGCCCAAACCAATATTAATACTTCACCTCCTCCTTCCTAACCTTCTCCATTTCTGGAATTTCCTTGACCTCTTCAGATCCCTAGACTAGAAATGTAAATATGTAACACATATTTTGAAATTTTGTCAATTTTTTTTGGTCAGGAATCCCTCTCATCCTTCAAGTTTTACTATCTATTCTTCTATTGCTTTGATTTGAATCTCCCATCTATTTAAAAGTATGTTTTACCAAAAAAGTGATACATGCTTAAAGTATATTTTGAAAGCAATCAAGTCTCAAAACAACAGCAATACGAACAGCAGATTTTTTTTATTTTGTAAGTTTATTTTTCCATCATTTTGTACATTTTTTTCCCATCTCAATTGTAATCCCCGCGGTTTCCCATCACCGAGTCACCCGTGTGCCATCACCATAACCTCGCGTACTTCCCTCCCCACCCCACCCCCGTTTTTGATCCCATTCCCCACTCCACCCCAGCAAAATGTCTCTGGTGTATGGTTCGAACAGCAGATTTTTAAAAACTAGATAATTCTATCACAGAATTTTGCAAAAATAGCCAGAAAAAGACTGGGAAAAAGACTGATAAAAGAGGACCTAGCTCTACCAAATTTTGAGCTATACTATAAAATTACAGTAAATAAAACTATATGGTGTTGCCTCTCAAATAAACAGAGCTATGAGACAGAATATATAGTCCAAAGTAGATCCAAATATATCTAGAAATGTAATATATGCTAATAATTACATTATACATTAATGATAGACAACATGAACTATTCTGGATTCTGAGTTTTGTTTTTTCAAATACTGATAATCAATCCTCAGAGACTGACTCTGATTCTCCAACAGCAACTGTTAGATTCTCCAATACTAATTGGGTTTCCAATAACTCATCAATTTTTACATTATCAGGAGTTGACCCAGTTAAGGGCTTGGTCCCCAAAACTGCCTCCACCTTAAATCCCATTGCATGTTCCAGGTCCCCCACAATTTTGTCAACTTGGTTATAATTCCCATAATCACCTCAGATTCAAAAATTTGTGAGACCAACTCAGAACTCAAGAAGCCACTTTACCTTGGCTTAGTGATTTATTACAGAACTCAGGAACAGCCAAATGGAAGAGAAGCACAGGACAAGGAATTGGGGAAAATGCAGAGCTTCCAGTCTACCCACCCTAGTTACTCACGTGTTTATAACCTATCTGCAGTCCCGTTCTATTCCTCAAGGTTGGGGGCACTGAACTAGGAATTCCTACCTTCTAATCACTAGTCTTTCTAGTGACCAGTCCCCATCTTCAGGCTAACTAGGGACTCCATCATGACCCACAGCTCATTAGCAGGCTCCAGGAGATTCTAAGTATGTTATTATGGATAGCAGGAGATGACCCTAATATTCAGGAAACCAATGGTTTTAGAGTTTTTGTGTCAGACAGCAGGGACAAAGGCCAAATATTTATTTTTATTACACCACAGATTTTTATCTCATTCCTTTCCAAAATAAATTCCAAGTGAGTCCATTTAAAATGAAAACCAAAACCCTAAAAATATAAAACATGAGAAATTTAAAATTTTAAGTGTGTAAGATCAGTTTAAAATGGAATAACATACAATCTAGATGGCCATAAAAGAAATTCAAGGATACATCTGACCACCTGAAAAAAAATTAATGTTTAATTAGAAAAAAGGCATAAATAACAAATATGAACAATATTGGGACAAGTTAATTGCAACACAGAAAACACAAAGAGCTCCTATAAATCCGTGAGAAACCAAAGACAAAAGGCATGAGTACACAGTTCACAGAAAAAACTATAAATGGCTCTTACATGTAATAAAACACCCAGCTTCACTGTTCTTTCCCCCTCTTGCCTGAGGCAAGGTCTTAAATTCCAGTTTGCTTCCACTAGAGGCTGCACTTATGACAGACTATGCAGGCTCTTCGGTTTGCCATCCCAAGCTGCAAGCAGGAGACACATATCCATGTTGCCCTCCAGAAGGCTCTGTCCCAGATTTCTCCTGTGAAGACACCATTGAGGATGTGCAGTTGATAAACCCTGGTCAAGGTGTGGGTGTCATGCCCTAGACATCAGTAGTATAAGTAAGCGCCACCCTTATCTGGGATGTATAAGCTGGAGTGGTACTGCAGACAATCGCTATCACCTCTGATGCTGTCTTCTGGGCTGAGTCCCTCTAGGAGGACATGTAGTAGATGATTTTCCCTTAGCACATTTAAAGATACGCCGTCTTCTCAGCAGTGATCCTAGGTGGCAGTACAATCATGACCTCATGGTCAATTCAGGTGGGTAAAGCTTGTTGGATGGTTTCTGGCAGTCATCTGAGTCCTACTTGTTGAATATTGCATCAGAGACATGGAGGCCATCCCAATGGGCAGCACATTCCACAAAAATGCCACTCTCTGGCTTCCTGATTTCTCAGTTGGGTTTATAGGTTGCAGATGTTTACTTTTGTCAACCAAGACTGACCACACCTGGCTATGCAGATGCTACTGTTTAAGACCTTGGATGAAGCTGACTGATGTCATTCTTCCCTAGAATGTGCCTCCAAATTATAAATTTTGTTCATAAATTTGCATATTATAATTCTAGGAGGATGTATATGTGTGTGTGTGCATATATATGTGTGTGTGTGTGTATGACATATTGCTAAAGATGTGTGTGTATGACACATATATTGTCATCTTGTTAAAGATGACAACTAGAAAAAAATTCCAGTATGCATTGTGGATAATTCTAGTATTCTTTAAATTGCATTATATTTTGATCTTGATTTTTTTGGGGGTCCCCTTAAATTTTGTACCTTGAGAGTAAAAGTCTTTTCACTCCCCCTTTCCACACCTGCAAACAGATGTGTGCATTATACAATCTTCATCTCTGTTCATTTCTTCTCGTACTTCTCTAACAGTAGTTAAAATAAATCTGCACACACATCAATATTTACAAAACTAATCATGAGTCTTCCACTTCACATTGCTATTTCTCAAACTTGTACGGATCCTTTTATGATTCTCAAAAACACAAAACCACTTAAAAGCGTTACATATCAGAATATTCACTACAGTCTGAATAGGAGACTGGGAACAACCTAAATGTCAATGAGGAGGTGACTGATCTACTTTGTCATTCTTACAAAAAACATCACTGTTAAGAAGAATGAAGAATCTCTATTTTTATCAAGATGATACATTTTCCCAAATACTTTTAAGTATAATACAACTACAGTATATAAATACTGTGTATTATAAAATGCCGTTGTAAGAAAATGCTTATACATACAAGTAGCTATGTATATGCTTAGCAGCTGGACGATTCAGAATATGTAAAGGTAACAATATGGAAGAAGCTGAACTACTCTCATATATTCTATGACACTTCCCTATACATCAAGGCAAATCAGGTAACTTTTTTCCTTAGTTCCCCCTGCTTGATATGCACAGCATCATAGAAGTGGCTGCATTCAGCGTGACTTTGCAGGTGTATCTATCATGATGGATTAAAAAATATTGGTAGTGGTAACAGTATGGAACCCTATGGAAGAAGTAAAGGAGGGTTTATTTTTTACCATATACTTTTGGCAATTTTTGAGTCTTAGCAATTTTCATTATTATTTATTAAAAAAAAAAATGTGGGCCCTCTCTGGTGACACAGTGGGTTAAAGCACAGCACTAAGAAGCTTAAGCCACTTCCATATGAGTTCGAGCCCCGCCTGCCCGGGGGGCGGAGATCCACATGGTGTGGCAGACCCTGGCAGACCCGCTGCTCCCCTCAGCAGTGTACTTCTTCGATCTGCCTGTTCTGCTCCCCACTCTGGTGAATTCTTACCCTCTGCACATCTGGCCTGTACCCCAGTTCTGCATGAATAAATAAATCTTTTAAAAAGTAATAAGAAATAAAAACTGTAATAACTATTTGTATACTAAGAAACAACTGCACACATCTTTCAGGTTTTCTTTAATCTTAAAAAGGAATTCTCCTAAAGGTTAGCTACCTGCTCATGTTTGAGTTTACTTTTTAAAATTTATTATTTATGCATACAGAACTGGGGTACAGGCCAGAAGTGCAAGGGTGGTGAGAGGATTCACCAGAGACAGAGTGGGGAATAGAACACGCAGCAGACTGACGAAGTACATTGTTGAGGGGAGCAGTGGGCAGGTCGAAGAGGTCTGCCACTCCATATGGGTCACCTCCCTGGCTGGGATCTAACTTGTGCTGCAGTGGTATGGTCAGCTTCCTAGTGCTGCACTTTAACTTGCTGTGCCACCAGGGAGGGCTCTTTGGGATACCCAGGGACCCCAAAACTTTATGGGGTGAATGTTCTAAAAGGTTTGTAGCCATCTGCATGCATATAGGCAAAGGAAGCACTTATAAAATATACTTATAAAATCGGTGTGGGGAAGAGAAAAAAGTATTGCAAATAATAGTTTCCCAATAAAACAAAAAGTTACCCATCCAACCAAACAGGATTGGCTCAAAGCTCAGAGCCTGAGGCCCAAAAGCTTGCCACAAGGCTAATGTCCCTTCTGGCAGGTAATCCCAGAGAGGTGGGACAGAAAGAGACTCAGAATTCAAAATGGACCACACAGTCCACTATAAAGTTAAGATAACGGGCTGTTGGCCCTTCCTGGTGGCGCAGCGGGTTAAAACACAGCACTGAGAATCTAAAGCCGCTTCCGCATGAGGCATGAGTTGCATGAGGCATGAGTTCGCTTCCCGCCTGCCCCGGAAGTGATCACATGGCGCGGCAGACCTCTCCTGACCCGCCCGCTGCTCCCCTCAGCAGTGGACTTCTTCATCGATCTGCCTGTTATGTTCCCTTCTCTGTCTCTGATGAAGCTTCTCGCCGCCTCTGGCCTGTACCCCAGTTCTGTATGCACAAATAAATAATTCTTTAAAAAAAAAGATAACGGTCTGCCAAGTGTCTCTGTGGGGGTTAGGAACAGCTTCCCCTAGTGTGTCTCACTCACGTGTCTCTCTCTAGTGTTTCTACATGTTTCTCCTTATGTATCTCCTCTAGCACTATTAAGGTGCAAGCGAAAGCTGGAAAAGCAAGCGCACGAGAGCATGTACATGTTCTGCTATAAACCAAACACTGTTTCATCCCAGCTCTAGTTTCCAGCAGCTCTCGTGCTGTTCAGGAAGTCAGGTTTAAGGTACGATGGGAGTTGTGATTCTCCCAGCCTCTTTGGAATGTGGGTGGATGTAGTCGAAAAAGCTTTGGGCGTGGATTAAGGGTGGACTGACTCTTTGCTTCTTCCTCAACTGTCATCGCACCTGTGCTGGGGCTTTGCATTACCTCTCTTTATCTTCCCTCAGTTTGAAGCACCAGGCCTCCCTCCTGGGGAAGGGTGCTTATCAGGTTCACATGTGGATTCCTATAGCACCTAGGACGCCTTCAAGCACACGGTATTCAGTCAAGAAATCTCTAGTGAAAAGAATAAAAAAAAAAAAAAGCAAGGGTGAATCCACGATGGGCAAGCCTCGCGCGGGAGGAAGACCACTTTCGCCCAGTAGTCCAATACCCCCAGGGACGCGCCGCCAGCTCCGGCCACGCCCCGATGGGTGCGACCCGTGGGCCAACCTCGCGCAGAGGGGCCCAGAGACCCCGCCCCGCTGACGTCCCGGGGTCCCGGTCCGCAAACCTGGGTCCTGGCCCGGGGCGACCGGAACCGGCGAGCCCTTATTGCAGAGCACAAGCTCCTCCCGCGCGCAATGGCGCCGCCGGTAAGGAGCGAGGGGCGGCGCCACAGGCGACGGTGCGGCCGCGATCCAATGAGCGGCGCCGACCGACCTGTGGCCCAATGGCGGCGGCGCGCGGGCACGCAGGGGGCGGGGCGGGTGCGCCCGACTTTTCCAGAAGACCCGGATCGCTCTTCTCGGCCACGCTGAGCCGGCTTCAGGCGTTCCGCGCGCCGGCTCTCCTCCCCTTCCTCTCTTGGGTCAGCAATGGCGGCCGTGAAGACCCTGAATCCCAAGGCTGAGGTGGCTCGAGCCCAGGCGGCGTTGGCGGTCAACATCTCCGCGGCCCGGGGCCTGCAGGATGTACTGAGGACCAACTTGGGGCCTAAAGGCACCATGAAGATGTAAGGCGGGGCTGGCGGGGACAGCCGGGCGGGTACCGCGCGCCCCGCGGGCCTGGAATCGGGGCCCGCCACTTCCGGGCCTCCGCGCTCGCCGCTGGGCCCTTCTCCTTGTCCCGGGGCTCGATCCAATTACCTACCCCGGCCTTGACCGCTTGTAATCGACGCCGTCTCCTCGGAGAACAAAGCTGCCCGCGTGCGCGGCGCACCCTTCCCTCTGGGACTTGGGCGCCCTGGAGGACTGGGAAAACTCTGAGGGGCGGGGGTGGGCACTGCACCACTCCTGCCACCGCGGGGAAGCAGCCCCGTGGCCCCGGCTCCCGAGCACCTAGAAGGAGCCGGGTGTATGGGATGCTTAAAAGTCACACTGATTCTTTCCTGTCCACCGAGCAGGCTTGTGTCTGGTGCTGGCGATATCAAGCTTACTAAAGACGGGAATGTGCTTCTTCATGAAATGGTGAGAGGCTGCTATATTGGGTCCAGAATGTCTTGGTTTTCTGTGGTGCGTTTGATTCGCAGGCAGGTTTTTAACGTTCATGCCTTAGGTAAGAGGAAAGTACAGTTACCAGCTCTCAACAGATACTCTTTTCTTTAGAGAGTGTTGGAAAGGAATATGACTAGTAGTACGGCAGCACTATTACTGTTACAACAAGGAGCCCTGGCGTCTGGGAGACTTGTTTTTAAATCCCTACTCTTTGCAGTTACATTCTTTGTTGAGGGTTGTAATTATGAGATTCTAATAAAATCTGAGACCTATTGATACAATAAGGCAAAAGGCCACGGAATGGCCTTTTGTTTCTTTTTAAAACATAGTTTCTCCACTGTTAGATCTCAATTCTCCATTTTACTTGGTGAACACTTAAAATTCTGTGCTATTTGTGAAGTCCCCGTAATCAAAACTATGAAATTATTGTGAGAAGTAACGTTCTAGTCATTCCTAAATTCCCCAAGCCTGGCAGTCCAAATCTAAAAAGAGAAAATGACTTTACTGTGTCTGAGTTCAGAATAAAATAGGTTTTGTTAGTAATATATCGTGCTTATAAATCTACACATTTGTACATTAAGGGTTAACTGACCTAGAATATGTAGATTTGTTTGTTTATAATGGGCTAAATTGTGGCCTGTGCTAAAAGAACAATTGGAGTTATAGTTTAGTATGATGTCACAGAAAATCTGTCCCTATATGGCTTTGTTTGTACTTGATTTTTTTATTGTATACAACAAATATAAAGACATGAAGCCCTTATGATTTAACAAGAAGCTTGAAGTGAACACAGTGAGAAGCGTACAGCCTCACCTAAGCAGTATTCTTGCCAAAAGCCTTAACATCAGGTAATGTAGATAGAGAAGTCTGCAAAATGATTCCCTAGATTCTTAAAACTCAGTAGTCTCAAAAAGGAAGTGAAGTAGTACAGACACCTTTTGGGGGACTCTATAGTTAAGACTTTGGGGGTGACATAGGAGATAATATCCTGGTTTTCTCAAATCTATAGTTATGTAGCACCTACTGATATTTGCTACAAGAGTTGTTTGGGTTTGGTCAATGCCAAGTAATAGTGGAGGCTGCTGGACTTTAGTTTTAGAAGGCTTCTGGCTTATTCTCAGAGGAGCAAATAGACTTGTCGAAGAGGAATGCATGGGTTTGAAATTGTTACTGTTTCGCTCATATATGTTAACTGATCCTTAAATCTCCTTATCACTAAAGGAGGGATAATCTGAGAAATAAATAGATTTATACAGGAAAATGATTCGGTCATAAACTTGATAAGCAAAATCCATTAATGGTAATTTTAATCAGCTATAATGCAGTTGAAAATTAGGATAATTTGGGCAGATAAATAGTTCTTAACCCTTCATACATTTTACTTAAGGTATATTTGGGCTGCTTCATGTTAGATTTAAGATTTTTTTTTTCCCTATTTCAGCAAATTCAGCACCCAACGGCCTCCTTAATAGCCAAAGTGGCAACAGCCCAGGATGACATAACTGGTGATGGTACCACTTCGAATGTCCTAATCATTGGAGAGCTGTTGAAACAAGCGGATCTCTACATTTCTGAAGTATACATGACCTAGTGTTTTTTTAATATTTTATTTTGTGTGATCTGAGTTTTATTTATACAGATTCATGTGTTAATAATGACTGAGGCCATATAGCAGAATATGAAGTTCAGGTGGCTTAGAGAACTAGTGGTTATTAAAATTTTTTTTTTATGTATATAAGAGCTGGGGTACAGATCAGAGGTGCAGGGCATGAGAGGATTCGCCAGAGACATCAGTGTGCAGAATAGGCAGATTGACTTTGGTACACTGCTGAGGGAAGCAGTGGGCAGGACAGGAAAGGTCTGTCACGTCATGTGGGTCAGCTCCCTGGCCAGGGGTCGAACTCTTGTTACAGTGGTTGTGGCTAGTTTCATAGTGCTGTACCAGAGAGGGCCCCAAAGAACTAGTGTTTTTTATCCTGATCTGACACAAATAATTATGCTTATGAACATGTTTTAGGGAATACTTCTTGGCCTGAAAGTTTCTTATCCAGTTGCATGGTGTGTATAATTTATCTATAACATCAGTTAAAAACTGGGATCTAAAAATGAGATACTAAGGACGGGGCATTTTTTATAACATGAAAACTTAACATTTTAAGAATTTCACAACACTTTTTGTCCTAATATTTCTAGGTTAGAGCCTCCCTGGTGGAGTGGCATAAGGGGTTAATTCTCAGCATTATGAAGCTATCTGCAGCACAAGTTTGATTCCCCAGCCCAACACATATGGTGCAGAATACCTCACGTGGCTCACCCACTGCTGCCCTCAGCAGTGTATTTCTGCTCCTCACTGTCTCTGGTGAATCCTCTCAACACCACTTCTCTCCCCCTGAGCCCTGCACCTCTGGCCTACACCCCAGTTCTTGTATGCATAATGCATAAATAAATAAATCTTTTTTTAAGAAAAAGTTCCAAGATTAAAGCAAGTTCAGTGAAAACTAATCTGATATCAAGGAGAATTTCCTGGGAAGAGAGAAAATAGACTCTTAATCTCCCCTTTTATTTTTATTAGTAATGATACAAAGTAATTTCAGATTACCAGTAGAAATGCTGTAATGGTTCTATTGACTATAGGCTGTTATGACAGTTTTGAGGTTTTTGGCATTAATCTTTGTGGTTTGCACAGTGAACACCCAAGTGTGCTTTATAGTTCTCTTGGCTTTGACTCTGTGCTAGAGCAATGTCTGTTCTTTACCTCTGCATTGAAAGGCTTATTTATCCTTTTAAATGTATTCAGAAAGTCAGCACATTAAGTTACTTGAATTAAAAGGTATGAGTCATCCAGAATCTCCCTTCAAAGCTATCTTTATCATGAACTATAGTTGCATTTAATTGAACTCGAATGTCAGTGGTGATTTTGTAATTGTGTGTGTATTATGTATAAATTATAGGGTCTTCATCCCAGAATAATAACAGAAGGATTTGAAGCTGCAAAGGAAAAAGCACTGCAGTTTTTGGAACAAGTCAAAGTAAGCAAAGAGATGGACAGGGAAACACTAATAGATGTGGCCAGAACATCTCTACGTACTAAAGTTCACGCTGAGCTTGCTGATGTCCTCACAGAGGTATGTACTAAGTTTGGTGTGTGTCTGCTACAGTATGTCTGTAGAAAATCCCATTGTTACGTATTTCAGTAGGGTATAATCTGAAACTTTGCAGTGTTATACTGTTGTTGGAAAAAAAGTAGATTTATTTTTAATAACCTGAGCTATGCTTCCAAAAAGTAAAGAAACTGGCTAAATTTTCTGAAGATATAGCAACATTAGTGCCTTCACTTATGCAAATCAGATTCACTTAATGGTAATACTCTATTGCAGGCAGTTGTGGACTCCATTTTGGCCATTAAAAAACAAGATGAACCTATTGACCTCTTCATGGTTGAGATTATGGAAATGAAACATAAATCTGAAACTGATACAAGGTAGGTGGTACAGTGCTAATAAGTGTGTTCACAGATTTTCTAGGTTTTTTACAGTACATACTTTCTGGCTGTTTTTTTTTTTTTTGTCTGAATAAATGTGTATTGCCAATGTATATGTTATATTTATCCTGTAATGTTTCTTGAAATTGGCATATGTTCTTAGAGCAGTTCTGGAAAATTTCCATAACTCAGTTGGCATGTACTGGGAAGTGTTGGATACAAAATATACAAGGCAGGCAGGGGCTGTTGGAATTTTTAAATTATCTTTTTAATTTGGAGGCCTAATTTGAAAATATCAGAGGAAGTAATCACAGTTCGATAGTCTACCAGTTAGTTTTCTGTAAAGATAGAGTTGTTTTGTTTGAATGCCTTGCTTTTGTCATGTTCTGGGGTACTACATTTTCACAGTTGAAATTAACCTTGGCTTCATCCAAAACTCATACTCACTTAAGTAACTTAAGAAATAAAGCCGATGGCATGAAAAAAATAAGTGTAGTTTCAAATTCAGTATTTTAATTTGTTGGTCTGTGTTATATCCCATTAGGAAATCAATAAATATATATTTTTTTTATCAATAAATATTTTTATATGTTGTGACAGCTTAATAAGAGGTCTTGTTTTGGACCATGGAGCACGACATCCTGATATGAAGAAAAGAGTAGAAGATGCATACATCCTCACCTGTAATGTGTCGTTGGAATATGAAAAAACGTAAGTTTATACTCCCTTACAAATGGAATAGAGAATAAATAGATGAGGAGGTCACTTTGTGAGACTCAGTTTCCCCACTGTAAGCATAATAATTCCCCTTTCTTTAACTTTTATTTTTTTAATAGAGAAGTGAATTCTGGCTTTTTTTACAAGAGTGCAGAAGAGAGAGAGAAACTAGTAAAAGCTGAAAGAAAATTCATTGAAGATAGAGTTAAAAAAATAATAGAACTGAAAAAGAAAGTTTGTGGTGATTCAAATAAAGGATTTGTTGTTATTAATCAAAAGGTGAGAAAAATTTTGAATTGTGAACTAGTGTGTCGTTTTTATTCTTAAGATGAATGATAATGAAAAATGAAACTTTTGCTTTTATTGCAGGGAATTGACCCCTTTTCCTTAGATGCTCTTGCTAAAGAAGGCATAGTGGCTCTGCGCAGAGCTAAAAGGAGAAATATGGAAAGGTATGGCTAACAGATTGGTGTGAATTTTACTTGTGTTGAAAATTAACTGGATTCATACCTGTTTCCCTTGTTTTTCTATTCTTTTTTTCTTTTTCTTTTTTTGGAAAACTGCAGTTTTAAGCTAACTGCTATAGAATAAAAATATTCTTAAAATAGTGATTGTGCAAGTCAACTGAGCTTTTTTTTTTTTTAAAGATTGATTTATTTTTGCATACAAGAACTGGGGTACAGGTCAGAGGTGTGAGGGGTGAGAAGATTCACCAAAGACATAGTGGGCAGCAGTAGGCAGATGTATTGAAACAAACTGCTGAAGGGAGCAGCAGGTGAGACAGGAAAGGTCTGCTCTTTTACGTGGGCCCCCTCCCTGGCCAGGGATCCAACTCTGCTGCAGGGGCTGCAGATAACTTCACAGTGCTGCAACACAACCCATTGCACCACCACCAGAGAAGGTCCTTAGATACATTTATTTTTAAACCATGAAAATACAGTACATATTTTTCTTGGAAGGGATTAGCATCCAGTGTTTCAAAGAAATACTACCAATGAGCTCACCAAAAAAAGCTCTTGTCCACCTTTAGATTTTTATATCAGAGAAGTATTTGCTGACTTGAGAAGAGGGGCTTGAATGGAAGCTTAGGAGAAAAACAGGTTTCAGCTGAAGGAAAAAGTTTTAAGTTAAAATACATTTTAGAATACAATTTTATAAGTAGTTGTAAAATAGTACAAAGTTACTAATTTCCTTAAATGTAACTGAAAATACCACATGCCTCTCAAAATCCTTTAATGTATTTCAGGCTGACACTTGCTTGTGGTGGGATAGCTCTAAATTCTTTTGATGACCTAAATCCCGAATGTTTGGGACATGCAGGACTTGTCTATGAGTATACACTGGTAAGTGTGTTTTCTTCCCCAAAGTAGTAAAATTTGGAAGAGTCATGAATTCTTGTAGTTAAAAATTCATTCAAATCAGAAATACACTTTGCTTTGTTTGGTTTACATGTTGTAATGATAAACCATTGATGGGAAAGTCACATTTCTTTGGAAAAAATCACATATAAGCAATAATCTCTTTTAATATGTTCAGTGGTAATTCCCTATAAACATGCTGTTTATCAATTCTTCATAACCCTCTCTACTGTTCTTATTATATGCAACTGTATCCTGTTCTTGAAAATATTTTTATCTTTTACACAGGGAGAAGAGAAATTCACCTTCATTGAGAAATGCAATAATCCTCGCTCTGTGACATTATTGGTCAAAGGACCAAATAAGCACACTCTCACTCAGATCAAAGATGCAATAAGAGATGGTTTGAGAGCTGTTAAAAATGCTATTGATGATGGTAGATCCTTATTTTAATTATATTCTTGCTAGTCTAAAAGGCATGGCTGAATACTGTGTTCTTTTTATCAGTAATTTACACAGCCAGACACCATGCAAAAGTAGTTCTCCCTTTGAAATGACTGATGGTATGTTACGTTTCATCATGGCATACCTTTATTAAAAGTGGATACAAATAAGGGCTGATAGAGCTTCCAAGTCCTAGTTAAATTGAAAATCTGTTATGTTGCTTGTATTATTTTCAAATATAATATTATAATTGCTATTAGTCAATTCTTAAAAAATTAATGGCTTTTATATATGTGTTATTGTGTTTTTATATAAATATATATTTTTTTAATTGACTCTACAGTTTTCTTTGCATTAGCTTAGTTTTTGTCTTTTCCACCTACTTCACAGGCTGTGTAGTGCCAGGTGCTGGTGCAATAGAAGTCGCAATGGCAGAAGCCCTGGTTAAATACAAGTCCAGTGTAAAGGGCAGGGCCCAGCTTGGAGTCCAAGCATTTGCTGATGCCTTGCTCATTATTCCCAAGGTATGAATAACAATCAGTTTCCTAAACTGCACTGAAACTGTTCAACTGGTGAACCTTTTTGATAATGTAATGTGGGTTTCCTCTTAATGTGAATTTTATATAAACAGGGTTCATTTATTTTTTTCTCCTTAATACTAGAGTGGGGGTATCATTAGCCACATGTATTTGGTTCCTCCAGAAGGTGGACTTGACTATTTGACAGTTAAGAGGCTCTTAAGTGATATAGGCATTAACATTGTTGCACCAGCTTTTGCATTTTTTTAGACTATGATCCAATATCATGATTTTCTTTTATGTGATCATTTGGGTATATAGTTTATGTTCAGTATATTGCCAGGTTTGGGATACACAGAAAGTTGATCAGTAACATGTCTAGTGACTCTTTGAAGGGATACTATTCCTATCTTCATTTGGTAGGGTGTTTTGTTAACCAGAAATACTAACCATTTATTATAGACTATCAATTCTTAGGTCCTGTGTTTTTAATGATTAATTTTGTTTATTTTAGGTTCTTGCTCAGAATTCCGGTTTTGACCTTCAGGAAACACTAGTTAAAGTTCAAGCAGAACATTCGGAATCAGGTCAACTTGTGGGTGTGGACTTGAACACAGGTAGGAGAACAAAACTTTTTAAGGGTAGACCTAGATGGTCTAAGTCAGGGAAAATCAGGAAGGGAACATAATTGGAGACTAAAGCATCTAGAAGAGGTTTCTTGAATTGAGGGTGATGATAAACTCATTTTGACCAGATAGAGTTAAATTTAGTCTGTATTATTTAATCTGTCCAGAAAAAACGGAGATGTTTAAGCATTTGGTAATCAAATAGGGTATTCTTACCACTGACTCTGATGAGCCACTCATCAAAGATTCTGTACATAGGATTCAGGGTTTGGAGTACCAAATTGACAATTGGGGAACTGTGATTCTCATCTTTAATACTAGAAAAAATGAGAGTAATTGGTGATGGAGCAAAGTAATAACACAAAGTAATCTTCTCCTATAGGTAGTTTTCTGGTCTTAGACTGCTGAATTGTAGTGTTAAGAATGGTGGGTTAGGGGCCTCCCTAGTGTGCATGTGGTTAAGTCTCAGCACTGTGAAGTGGTCTGCTGCATGAGTTCAACCTACAGCCAGGGAGCTGCCTCACATGGCAGAGCAGCCCTCTCCTATTCAAACCATTGCTCCCCTTAACAGTGTATTTCAGTGGATCTGCCTGGTCTGTTCTCCACTCTTCTCTGGTGAATCTTTTCTACACCACACCCTCTACACTTCTGCCCTGTGCCCCAGCTCCTGTATGCATAAATAAATGAACCTTTAAAAAATAATAATGGATTACTTTTCAGGTGAGCCAATGGTAGCAGCAGAAGTTGGCATATGGGATAACTATTGTGTAAAAAAGCAGCTTCTTCACTCGTGGTAAGTTTGGGGAAACTAAAAATAATCTTTAGGGAATTGCCATTATCTTAATTGGGTATGTTCTGCTTAATTACCTTTTCCCTCAACCCCTGTAAAAGTATAGAAACTGGAACTAACCTTTGTTTGGGGAAGACTTGTAACATTTAAGTGGCTGAAATGTACACAGTTTAGTTGGAAATTGAGTTGAATTAGAGTTCATATATCAATCTGATCATGATTTTTTTTAATGCCCTCTTAGCACTGTGATTGCCACCAACATTCTCCTGGTTGATGAAATCATGCGAGCTGGAATGTCTTCTCTAAAAGGTTGAATTGAAGCTTCCCATATATCAACTGAAACATGAAGACTCAAGAGAGTGATCCTAAGATTCTAGCTGTGGAATTTTTGTCCAAGCTTCAAATGATTTTCAAAGGAATTTTCTTTTCCCATATGAGAAAAAAAGGAGGAAAATGCTGGCATCTGTTCAAATTCTGAAGTTCTGAAATTATAATTACAGTATTTTTTTAATTGCACTGAAGTATATACACATAAAGCAGGCCATTTCTATCCAAAGACCAGGATGTTTTGTTTTAGCTTCAGTGATAACAAAATACATGTCAGATAAGCATATGTTATCTTGTTATTAAATATTACTTGAAAAATGAATGGTTTAATAATTTCTTCTGATGTATTTTAATTTATCCAATAGTTCCCTATTGTTAAGCATTTAAGTTTTAAAATTTTATGCTTATATAACACTCAAGTAACACAAGATTTTGAAAGCATCCCTGTTTACTTGGTATAAATTCCTGTGGGTAAAACTCATTGGATCAGTTAGACTTCTTGCTTCTCAAGTAGCTTTGGAAATGCTCCCCCAAAAAGTTACCTTGTAGTGGGCAGAAAGATAGGTGAACTAGAGAAGCTGGAGGACTGAAAGAGCTACAACATTTATAAAGTGTTAAGAATAGAAACAGTGGCGCAGGCAAACAATACTGCTGAAGGCTTAAGTGATCAAGAGGCGAGGTAAAAGACAATTTGAGCAGGCCATACTTTTAACACCTCTGACCCTTTGCTTATGCTGCAGTGTCCATCTCACATCCTCTTGTCTTTTTCTAACCCAAGTTACTGTTCTACATATTTCAACAAACTTGTTTTTATACAGTTGGTATATCTTTGCAGTCCTTCAAGATAAAGTTGTTGCTAAGCTTTGTATTTTGAGAACTTGGCAGTTGGCCTACAGTGAGTGTGCAATAAATGTTAAGTTGAAACCTTTTTTGTGATTTTGCGGTGGTATTCCAGGAATCTGAATGTACTTGGGGTAGAAAATGAGACCAGAAGTTCTCAAGTTTAAGGAAGGGGCTCATGAATGGTAGAGCTCCTCAGCACTAATCCTTATGAAACCGTGTTTTAAAAATTTATTTGGCCCCATATGAAATTGAGGGCCCCTGTAACCACCTTGGCCCCCTGATAAAATACTTCTTCGCCCTTTCTAGGCTGGGATGGTGCGCATGCGCATGCGGGGCGCGCTGCAGGGCGCATGCGCAACACTTTTGCATAAAAGGCTGATGCTTCCGGGGCGCACTTTCGCGCGATGTGTTCCTGGCTGCTTCTGCTGTCGCTGCTGTCTAACCCGTGGCTCGCGCTAGGTCAGTGTGCGGGCCTGTTCTCTTCCCCTGGGTGCCGTTTGTTCGGGGTCCCACCACGAAGGGTGGCGTGTCCCTCCCAGCTTGGATAAGACTGGTGTCTCCGCCCGCCTCCTGGATGGGCTTGGAGAGGCCGGAGGCGCTTCGCAAAGGCGGCCAAATTGGAGTGTTCAGGTGGTTGTATCACTTAGGTTTACTTTTAGCTCAGTATTTGAAATCTTTCAACCATAAAAACTTAGAAATAAGCCTTCCACGTACTTGTAACCCAGTTTAAACGGTAGTCAATTTATTGTAAATCTTGCATCTTCGGTACCCCTCCACTTTTCCCCTTCCCGCCCATCTTTAAGAACGTTCACAATTTTGTTAATGAATATTAAGTTTGAATAGTCAAAGAGACAAGAAATTACTAAAAAAATACTGTTTTTCCCCACCTTAAAAATACTGGCCTACACCCCAGTTCTGTGTGCATGAATAAATAAATCTTTATACTCCTAAACATCTTTAAACATCCAGTTAGTATTCATTTTCACCTGTTATCTCAGTTTTTGAAGTAGTCTTTATTGGGTTAGGGTAAAATAAAGTTCATACAATGCAATTCTATGTTGTTTCTTAATTTTCATTAATTAGATTTTCCTGCTCATTACTGTTTTTTTTCCTCTTGAAGTGATTGAAGTCATCAGTGTGATTGTGTTAGAATGGGAGGAGGGCCAGAAATAGGGTTGTTGGTTTTTTCAAAGATTTATTTTTATTTATATATACAAGAACTGGGGTGTAGGCCAGCAGTGTACGAGTTGGGGGAGGGAGGTGACCAGAGGCAGAGTGGGGAGCACAACAGGCAGACTGACTAATATCCACAACAAAGGAGATCAGGTAAGACTGGAGAGGTAGTCCTTTCCATTCTGAAACAAACTATAATGATGGAAAACATTAAAAATTAATAAGCGGCCCTCCCTGGTGGTGCAGCGGGTTACCAAGCACAGCACTAGGAAGCTAAAGCCACTTCCACATGAGTTCGATCCCCACCTGCCCTGGAGGTGACCACATGGCGTGGCAGACCTCTCCTGACCCGCCCGCTGCTCCCCTCAGCAGTGTACTTCGTAGATCTGCCTGTTCTTTTCCCCGCTCTGTCTCTGGTGAATCCTTTCACCCTCTGCATCTCCGGCCTGTACCCCAGTTCTGTATGCATAAATAAATAAATCTTTTAAAAAAATCAATAAACATTAAACACATTAAACAGCTAGCCAGGGAGAGACAGAACCAAGTAAGCGGAAGAATAGGTATTTCAGATGCTGAATGTAAGTAGGGATATAATGGCTAGATACCTAGCTGGGACAAAGGATTGTTATGTAGAATAGAGAGGTAAAGAAAGAAAATAAACACTTGTTGAAAACCCACAATATGCTCAATTTTTCATAAATTAGTTTAATTCATACAATCACCACCTATAATGTACATGTTGCCAATTTTTTTTAAAGATTTATTTATTTATGCATACACAACTGGGGTGTAGGCCAGAGGTGCAGGGATGGTAAGAGGATTCACCAGAGACAGTGGGGAGCAGAATAGGCAGACTGATGAAGTACATTGCTGAAGGGAGCAGTTGGCAGGTCAGGAGAAGGCTGGAGATTAAACTCAACTGAAGGGGTTGCAGATGGCTCGCGGTGCTATGCTTTAACCCATTACACCACCAGGGAGGGCTGATGCTGCCATTTTTTAGATGAAACTTAGATTAAATAATTTGCCTGGGTTCACCCACACAGCAAATTAACTGGCTAAACAAGAATATAAAGCCAAATTTTCAAACTTCCATTTTTTTCTCATCTATTGTATTATTTATAATTAAAGTGTTATCATCACTTGATTATATATTAAATAATTACTGATGACTCTCTTTTCTCTATAGGGAATGGGCATACTACTAGCATGGTCCAACTGCCAGGTGGGAGATTCCAGATGGGAACAAATTCTCCAGATGGCAGAGATGGTGAAGGACCTGTCCGGGAGGTGACAGTAAAACCCTTTGCAATTGACATATTTCCTGTCACCAACAAAGATTTCAGGTACAGCAGTGTTCTTCCAGGAGGAGGAAAGTATCTCCTCTTCATTCTAATGTACAAAAGGAAACTAGCTTGCTGTTTTGATTTGAGGAGAACAATAATCAGGATTTTGGTGAACTCCATAGGTATAGTGATTCTGCCTCTAAGAATTTGTCTTAAAGGTATTTATCCAAAAATACCTTAGGTTGTCAAAAAGATATTTATAACAAATATTAACAATTTCAGAGTCACTTAAACATTGTGTCACTGCAACAGGATACTTAAGGGGATAGTTATGAGGTGTAAGATGACATAAATTTGCAATGTAGTAGATACAGGATACATAACATGCATTAAAACAGAATTGAAAGATGCAATATTATGCCAGTTGATGGTTGTTGCCCATGTCTTTGTAATATCCAAGTGAAATTAATTCCAGGGAGGCATGTTATTAAAGATATTTAAAAATCACTGGGGAGAGGAAGGAAGAATATGGGAGGATATATCTTTTAGTTGGCATGATAAGGGGTGAATTTAGTTGTTTCCTCTTTACCTGACTGTATTATTTTCCACAATGTAATGTACATTGTTTTTAAGTACTATTTTAAACTATTTTTAAACAGTGAATCTGTTAAAATTGAAGGAGAAATCATCTCTAATCTTAGTTGTACCATATCATGACAACCAGAAGCAGTAGCCAGCTAACTGAATGTACAAGATGCATTCTTTTATCTTTCAAATTATGATCAATTTTATGAGAAAAATAGAACGGCACTCCTAACAAGCCCCTAAACTTTACTTCAAATCTATGATTTAGCTCTGCTTCTCTGATAAAAGATTCTCCAGCTGTTTAGAGGCACAGAAGTTTGTAAATAGCTATTGCTATAACTTCCAGTATCTGCTCTATTTTCAAACCCCCTTTGGGGGGTGAGCAGTCTCTGCTCATATCAGAGGACAGATGGGTTACTACTAGTCCAGTGAAAACAATTCATTCTACCCTGGCAGAAATTTGCTGAAATTTGCATGCCACACTAAATTATATGAATATCCATTCTAAATTCTCAGAATTTTTTTGTTTGATTCAGCTCTGTTAGATGGAGATAATAACACTTGTTCTGCCTATTATCTGATTGCTGTGAAGTTACGTACCTGAAGAAGCCCTCTCAGAAAAGAAGCCTATTTCCCACCGTGAAATTCTCTGCTCAGTGGCTTTATTTATAACCTCCAAAAACTTCAACTCTTGTATGATAAAAAATGATAAAGCCATACACTGAAGTACTGCTCAGCAATTAAAGGGGAGAAAACTACTGGGACTGGGAACAATAGATGGCTAAATCTCAGAAGCAACATGCAAAGTAAAAGAAGCCAGACACGAAAGACTGCATTCTGTATGCATTAATGCATGTGAATTTCTATCCTGCAAAACTTCAGGGACAAAAAGCAGGAGTTGCAGGGGCACGGGGAAGTTTTGTTGGGTGGTTGGTAAGAATGCTCGGTATTTTGATTGTGATAAAGACTACATATTTTGTCAGAATCCAAAATTATACACTAGAGAATGTTGCTGTATGTGTAATCCACATGCAGAAAATTCAGATTTTAGAAGAACGTCTGCTCATACTGTCGGGTCAGTTGCCTAGAGTTCATGCAAACTGCTCCCCAATCACCTCTGGATTAGAGAGGTGAAGGTGAGGGAGAGGAATGCTGTTGGCTGAAATGAACTCTGTCTTTTCAGGGAGTTTGTTAGGGAAAAAAAATACCGGACTGAAGCTGAGAAGTTTGGGTGGAGCTTTGTCTTTGAGGACTTTGTCTCTGAAGGACTTAGAAACAAAGCAGCGCAGCATATGAAGGTGAGAACCTAGACTTCAGCTAAGGGAAAAGGAATGGGCATCTGGACAGAAACTCTGTGGGTTATGGCCCCCTGGGCCACAGGAGAGAATTAAACCTGAGAAATGGAGGCAGGAAGGAAGCAAGAGAAACCCACCCAGGATACTCACCTGATTCCTGTGCACATTCCCAGGAAGTTCACCCTGAGCTGGTTTCTGCACAGAGGCTCTGAAGATGATGATAGGGTTCGAGATATTTCCCTCGAGTGGCAATAGAACATCTTGGCAATCGCCCTTCTAGGAGGGTGGTGCCTTGTCATGTTTTAAAGATTCCAGACAAACCCAGACAGACCACCTGCATGTCAGCCCGAGGGCACTGCTGTGCCTCGGTGTCAGGAGGGGGCAGCAAACATTGCAGTCACCCTCCTTCTTTTTTTCAGTCTGTTCTCTGGTGGTTCCCGGTGGAAAGGGCATTCTGGAGGCAGGTAAGGGTTAGCTCCTCCATCTTGTTTTCTATCACTGTTGACGCTTTCTGGAGACCTGGGTTCCGTGAAGCCCCTGTTGGTCTAGGGATTCTGAATGTAAAAGGATGGGAGGCATTTCAAGTAAACACGTTACCTCTGTTCTAATTCCCCGAGTCCCCTTTTCCGTCCCACTTCTCCTTTTCTGACACTGGGCTGCTCCTCATTCACCAGGCTGTCTTTTCCGATTTCCTTGCTCCATCTAGCGGTAAAAGATGAACTCAGGCACCCTAAGCCTAGCCCTCCTCTGACTTCCATGAGCTCCCAGAAGCCTGTCTCACTTCATCCTGGGTATCAGCCTGCAGGTCCTGACTCTGGCATCCGAGAGAAACTGGAATTCCCCGTGGTACACGTGAGCTGGAATGATGCTCGTGCCTACTGTGCGTGGCGGGGGAAACGGCTGCCCACTGAGGAAGAATGGGAGTTTGCTGCCCGAGGGGGCTTGAAGGGTATAGCAATGCCGAGGCCATTCCCTTTATTCTCCCCATCCTGCCCCACATGGGAGGCTTGAAAGGGTGGGAAGTGTTCATGCTCCCTAAAGCAGTGAGTGTTTAAACTATGGGGTGAAGGACCAGTAACTCCTTTCCATTTCTGATCCATTGCAGGCTAATGCTTTTGTAAAATACCATAAAAATATTAATGGAAAAGTGGAATTAAACAGATTATCCTATTGTTGGAGAGTCCAGAGACATGTTAGATTTCGGTAAATATAAACAGAAGAGCAGAAGGAAAAAAAAAAGAAATATCCAAATTATTTTCCCTTTTCATAGGTGTATTGGGATGAATCTACAGAGACACTATTTGCATGTTACTGCCATTCTGCAGTTCTTATTAAACATAAAATTATGAGAGTGGAACAGCAGCCCTCCCTTTAACATCTCCGCACCGGAACACCGGCTCTGCCTTAGCACTGTTACTGTGGTGGGCAAGGCTGCTTTATGCAGAGATCCCATTTAAGTCCTACTAACCAGTTTCTCAGAACTTACTCCCTATTTCTTACTTACCTTGACATAAACTGGCGACAAATAGTTTACAGCCTGGCGTTGGTCAGAACCACACCAAGGGTTGCAGTCTGGCGGCCAGGCGCTCTCAATGCCATTAGTGAGTGGAGCGTCTGGCATGGGAATGGTGTGCTCTGCTGGTCTTTTCCTGCCACCGCCTAATGTCCTTTTAGTTCCCTCACTCTGTGGCACCCTTCTTTCCCAACTCTTCACCTCTCCCTCCTGTTATCTCTTTGCTCTCCTGGCAGGTCAGGTTTACCCTTGGGGAAACCGGTTCCAGCCAAACCGCACCAACCTGTGGCAGGTAAGACATACATTCCTCCCTGCTGTCCTTTGGTAAAGCATTGATTAAGATCTGCTGTCGGGCAGGCATTGTGTTAGACTGTGGGATTCAGAGGACTTTTTGTTCTAATGGAATGGTGAACTGGTAAAGAATTGACAGTGTGGCACTGCTACATATTAAAATTGTGCAGGGTGTGTTCAAAATTAAATTACCACCAGAAGCGCTGGGGATGACTTTGCACAGAAGATGACATTGAGTTGATTGAATAGGAGTTTGATGAGTGAAAAGTAGAGGAAAGGGCCTTCTAAGCAGAGGAAGCAATATGAATGTCACCTTTGTGCTAGGTTATCACTCTAGTGATAGTGTGCTATAGTGATAGTGAGCCAGCAGAGTGAGAGCTGCTGGCTCAGAGAAACGACAGAGTGAGGGAGGGTCTAGGAGATGAAGTGGACAGTGGGTTACAGCAGATCATGAAGGGCCATATGAAGTGTAGCCAGAAAGACCTGGCGTTACATTTTTTTTTTAAGATTTATTTATTTATGCATACAGAACTGCAGTACAGGCCAGAGGTGCAGGGGCGGTGATAGGATTCACCAGAGACAGAGTGGGGAGCAGAACAGGCTGACTGACAAAGTACACTGCTGTGGGGAGCAGCGGGGAGGTCAGGAGAGGTCTGTCACGCCATGTGGGTCATCTCTGGGGTGGGTGGGGATCAAACTCATATGGAAGTGGCTTTAGCTTCTTAGTGCTGTGCTTTAATCCTCTGTGCCACCAAGGAGGGCCCTGGAGTTACATTTTATCCCCACAGGCAGTGAGTAGCTGACAGGCTTTCAGTGGGAGTAAGAACATCATTTCGATTTCGGAGGGTACCTGTTGCTAATTTGTGCAGGATCAAATGAAGCTGAGCTATGGTAATAGCCAGGGCTCTCTGAATTTGAGGCTGTGGCAGTGGACCAGGGGCTTATGAATGAACACTTGAATTAAGTGGAAATGGAGTCAAGAGGAAGCTGAATGGGAGAAGGGTGGAAGAGAGGTGGAGTCAAGCATGAATCCAAGCTGGGGCCACAGAGTGGTGGCACTGATAGGTCGTATGCACAGGGGTCAGGGATAGAACATGATCAGTTTAGGATCAGCTTAGTTCAAGATATCTTTGAGTCACTTACATGTTTGGTTGCAGGCTCACACTTAGAACAGAGAGGTCTGGATGGGAGGAAGTGGTTAGGGATTATGAGCATAGGCAGAAAGGAAACCCCCCAGAGACTCTGGAGTGAAAGAAGTAGAGTACTAACATTTTAGGGGAACCATTAAAAAGGACTGAGGTGTGGAGACAATCTGACTTATTCACTGTTTGGTCTTTGATATATTAATCATTTTGAGCCTCAGTTGTTAGTTTTTGAAGGGAGAAAGTTGCTGTCTTAAACTCTTTAAGATTAAATTAAAAGAGCTAAGTGCCTTAGTACTTTGTAGGTTTGGAGTAAATTTAGCTCCTGTGTCTTCCCTTTCTCAACAGCAGTTTTCCATAGAGTGATAGCAGCTGAATCTCTATTTAAATGAAAAGGAGAATGAACAAATTGCATCAATAAATTGGGTTTATTTTTTCAAGAATTTGGTAATAAAGGTGAGGAAGGTAATAGCAGGGCAGATGAAGGAGAGTTAAACCTGCTGAAGGAAGAGGGGGAAGAGATGGTACTGGGGAACATAGAATGATGGCAGGGTCTGAGAAGGCTGTGTGCAGGGCATGGAGGCGGGGAGGAGACTGTTCCCAAGGTGCCATAATACACAGGGTTTAAGACCAAGGTAGGGAAGCTCTGGGGGTAGAGAAAGTAGGAGTGGGCGGGGCTTGACAGGGACCACCTTGAGCACAACCTTCCTAATCTAGGAGGTCATGGTGGAGGACATGAGGCTAGTAGTTTGGGGGCTCATCAACAGACCCTAAGATCACTGCCCTATTACCTTCTCCTGCCCCACATGATACAGCAAGATGATCTGGGCAAGAACACCTTGCTCAGGTGTTATTCGGGACAGGATGGTAAATTTTTTAGGTTAAATTATTTTCTTTTTGGCCCTCCCTGGTGGCTCACTGGGTTAGGACACAGCACTGCAAGGTGGCTGCAGCTGCTTCAGTGCAAGTTTCATCCCTGGCCCCGGAGCTGACCCACATGGTGCAGCAGACCCGCCCACTGCTCCCCTCAGCAGTGTACATCGTCAGTCTGTTCTGTTCCCCACGCTGTCTCTGGTGAATCCTCTCACCACCCCTGCATCTCTAGACTGTACCCCAGTTCTGTATGTATAAATAAATAAGTCATTTAAAAAGCAATTTGTTTCTCTCAGGGAAAGTTCCCCAAAGGCGACAAGGCTGAGGATGGCTTCCATGGAGTCTCCCCAGTGAAGGCATTCCCCCCACAGAATAACTACGGTAAGATTACCCATCAGGTTGCTGTCAGTGCTTACAGCTAGATTGCTGGGATCATTCTGCCTGACATATGAGGCAGAGAGAAAACTCACTGGGGAATTATTTGTTCCAGGCCTTCACTGGCCATAAGAAGTGAGTGTGGTGCATCCCAGTTTGAGACTGACCCATCTGCTGTGCTGCAGGGCTCTATGACCTCATGGGCAACGTGTGGGAGTGGACAGCTTCGCCTTACCAGCCTGCTGACCAGGACATGCGTGTCCTTCGGGGGGCATCCTGGATCGACACAGCTGATGGCTCTGCCAATCACCGAGCCCGGGTCACTACCAGGTGAGGGGCTGGTTGCTGGGAGCTAAGGGTCTGGGTCCTGGTTTCTCAGGGCAGGTGTTGGTGTGGTCACTTCCACACCTCTTCTTTTGTCAGGACTTGTGGGGACAGAAAAGAAAGCAAGCAATACTTGCTATGAAAAGCAAAAGAGCCCAGGACAACTTGTGCTTTTTATTGCCAGCTCTCAGCTGCAAGGGGGACTTGGTGTTCAGCATGTTGAATACATGTGTTTCTCCTCGTGTCCTCATAACTAGGGTTGTAGAAGGAGGGAAGTAGAATGGTCAGGGGTCATGAAAACTATGACTCTTCAACCTGGTAGCCCACGAAAAATAGTTTTGTACAATCATTAAGTTCTGTAATCAAGGAGCAATAGACTCAGGGAGTCCTTGGGCCTGCTCATTTCGCAGACATGGTTGGTGATAGCACCCAGCTGGCAGAGTCCCAAGTTCCCGAGCCCCTTTCTAGGGTTCTCCACTACTTTCATCTGTAGAATTATTTTGGTTGCTCTCATGGAAGCTCCTGCTCCTGGATTCTGTAGGGGCTGTAGAGAAGCATATTTATGTGGCCTCAGAATATCAAGTTTGCACACATCTTTGACACACTGAGGCCCCTGGATTTTTCCTCACCCTCACCTCACAAAGTTGTGGAGAAATTACTGGTCTGGAGACCAGTCAACTGGTTTTCTGTTAATTCTATTGTACTGCTGAAGCAGTGGTTGACTTGACAAGAAAGATTTAAATAAATCTTCCTAGTATGTGAATCTGAGTCAGTAAAATGGTGAGCAAATCCGGACTTTCATAGTGGCTGGGAAATGCCAAATAAAGAAATATATGTGAAAGTTCTTTAAGGACTCTGAAGTACTGACTGCCACCATGATATTCTTGAACACAGATATTCTCAGCTGAGTTATGATAAACTACTGACAGCATTATTAGCCATTGCCTTTCCTGCCTTCCAGTGCAGTCTCTGGAAGCAACTCCCATCTCCTCCACCCAAACTCTCATCATCTCCCCCTCCTCCAGGAGTGGCACATTCTCAGGACCTGTTGTCACACCAGGCTTCTTCACAGACTGTGCCCTTCCCAGTCCTCAGGGAGTTGAGCATGAAAGTTGGCTAAGGCCCCAGGCCCCTTTCTCAACAAATATCTATTCTCTCTCCCCTTTTCCGGTGACAGGATGGGCAACACTCCAGATTCAGCCTCAGACAACCTAGGCTTTCGCTGTGCTTCCGATGCAGGCCGACCCCATGGGGAGCTGTGAGCAGCCATGTGGAGACAAGAAGAGTCCCTGTGGTACCCTTGTCCCTCCCTGGCCACACTCCAAACACAGCTAGGCGCTTCAGCTTCAGCCCCAGAAATGCCTCCCTTCCCTTCCCCAGCCTCTCTGTGCCAGGAACCTCTCACCATGGTAAAGGAGGTCTCTGCCCTCAGAGGAGGGGTGCCATTGTCTCTTAGGAGAGGAGGCCTGACTTACTGATTGTGGCTGGGAGCCGAGTGTTTCTCTTTGAGGTCAAATATTAACCATGTGAGGACCAATACTCAGTTAGGACAGAGTACCCTGAAAGACAGCTGGTTAAAGAATTTAATTTTGTTCCCTTTTCTCCCTGTCTCATCCAAGGATCTGACAGTCTTTTACAGGCCAGAATTTTCCCCTACTCACTTTGCTTTCCCACGTAAAAGTACCAGGAAAACACCTCATTTGTCTCCTTAGTAGAGTTTCAAATACCTCTGAAGGAACCTAATTTCCATTATTTGTATGTAAGTAACATGTATGTAAGTACAATGTTAGTATTAAAAGGGTACAGGAGTACTGAATGATTTACCAGGTGAAATTGCATTATGGAAGTTACTGAGTAAATAATACTCCAGAAAGACATATATCAGCAGCTTTTCTTTCTATTGTTAATTACATAAGGGATTCATTACCTCTCAGAACATCCCTGGAGAAGAATCTTCTCCCATGGTGTCTGGATGTCATGATGTCTAGTCAGATCTGTCATTGTGTATCTCAAGCCATTTGACTCTCTTCCCCTCCACTCTGCCACCCCAGGGGAAGTGGATTGAGTGCCAGTAACTCAGGGCTCCCAAAGGAGAAATAACAGTGGCACAGTGGGGAGGTGGGGAAGCAGGAGGGCTCTCGACTCTTTGGCGGGGTCTGGCCCCAGCTCTAGGCACCTGCTCAACAGTCCTACACACCGTCTTACTCCTTTGTCTTAAATTTCGTGGCTTCCTCTGCCTGCCTGTCCCCACCCCACCCATCCCCCTTGCCGTCCCCTCAGTAGTCCTCCTCAGCCAGGGAGAGGAGCACAGCCTTGGGGGTGTTCTCAAACAGGGCAGCCCGGTCCTGTGCCTGCCCCTTCTTCACCCAGTGGCCATAGATTCGGAAAGCACAGGCATCGATGAGGCGGCGCAGAGGCCGCAGGGCATAGGGGTCTCGGATGACGATCTCCCGCGTCACAGGCTTCACCCGGCGGTACTGGTAGTAGATTCGCACTGAAGCCAGCACTGTTAGAGCAATGACCTGCAGAGGGTGGCCACTGAGAACCTGGACCCCGCCCCTGGAGCCAGGTCTCCCCTTGAGTGCAAGGAGACCCTGAGCTTGTGTATATTTTCCTGCTGGGCCCTTCCTGGTGTTCCCCCCCATTCCCACCCACCAACCTCAGCGATTTAGCTTGTTACAACCAGTCAGCTGACATCTGTCTCTCCTAAAGCCAGAAGTTGAGCTGGAACCAGCACCCACCAGGTAGGGCAGGTGCTCTGGAAATCCTGTGGGTATAAGTAGTCCCTGAGGGAAGGAAGGGCACCTAGGAACTTGGGCTTGGGGAGCCAGCAGCAGCTGCTGGTTCAGCCCTGGGGGGAGCTGAACCTTGTACCTTGAACTTCCCCCGGGGACTGAAGTGCCGGACTTCTTCTACCACATACTGTTGGAAGAAGGGATGGGCCAAGGCCTCTTCTGCAGTACAGCGGCCTTGGGGGCTCACCACCAAGAAGCGGGAAACCTGGGAGAACAAGGAGCGGGAGCTGAAAACATCAAGGCAGGTCCCTCCAGCACTTCAGAAGACAGGGGGTCTCTCCTGGTAGCCTCCTCCCTCCTGTGGCATGGTATCGTTTCCTCCTCCCAGTGTGGACTTTGTCTCTCCCTTCAGCCCACAGCCCACAACCCACAGGCCTGGCCTCTCACCAGGTCCTTCACTGTGTCTGAATAATCATCCCATTCTGGTGAGCCAAACTGATAGTTGCCACTCATGATCATCCTGAGCATCAGCATCTGCTTCCGGTGCCAGAAAGGTGGGGATCCGGCCAGCAGGGTGTACATGATGACCCCTGTGCTCCACCTGGCCCAGGCAGAAGGAAGGAAGGCTGGCCACAGCTCCAGCTGCTTCCTCCGCTCCCCAGCCAGGCTTCCATCACCCTGTCTCCCCATTGCTTTTCTCCCCAGCACACTCACATGTCCACCTCTTTACCATAGCCTGGATGGTTCTCATTCATGGAGCACTCAATGATCTCGGGGGCCAGGTAACTGGGGGTCCCACAGACCTCTGCAACGATAGTTATCATCAGGGTAGATCAACAGGGAGCACTCGGAAGAGGAAGGTTCAAAGATACCACGGGAACAATACCAAAATGGTGGTTGGATTGGGATTCTCCCAACACTGGCTGTCTTCACTCAGGGCAAAGGCCAGGCGCAGGGTGCTGGCTCACATGGCCACCTTCATAGGGCCTCTTGGTCCCCTGGTCATTTATTTTTATTTTTTAATATTTATTTATTTATGCATACAGAACTGGAGTACAGGCCAGCGGTGCAGGGGTTGTGAGAGGATTCACCAGAGACTGAGTGGGGAGCAGAACAGGCAGATAGAGGAAGCACACTGCTGAGGGAAGCAGCAGGTGGGTCAGGAGAGGTCTGCCGCGCCATGTGGTCACCTCTGGGGCGGGGATCGAACTTGCACTGAAGTGGCTGCAGCTGGCTCCTCCTAACCTGTTGTGCCACCACAGAGGGCCCCCCAAGCCCCTTGGCCCCCGACCCCCAGTCATTTCTAAGCATCCTGACCTAGAGCTCAGGCAGTGAGAACCTGGCTAAGCTCATCCTGGGAGAGGGCTTACCTGAAAAAACACCTAGTCCTTAAATGGTGGGATTTCTTACCGGGGGGGGGGGGGCGATTAGGGGAGAAACCCAGGCAATCTCTGCTCCTGAGAGTTGAGAAAGCCTGAACCTCTAACATGGGCAGAATCTGTTATCAGACCTCGCAGCTTCTTTCCTGGTTCTAGCTGGCAGGAAAAGCCAAAGTCCGTGAGCTTGATGTTCATGTTATCATCTAGGAGGATGTTCTCAGGCTTAAGATCTCGATGTACAATGTTGAGTTTATGCAAGGCGCAGATCACCTCCAGCAGGGCTCTCATGATCTTCCTGGGGCGGGACAAGTACTTGTTATTCTTCTCCTTTTCTGTAGGGTAACAGGCAGGGGGAGCCGAAGCCCACAAGCAAGTGAGGGAGATCTTAGGGCAGACAGGGACTGTCTTGGCTGAGCCAAGGAGAGGGGCCACAAAACCAGGGGTGCATACTCTCTGCCCAGAGAAGGAGACACGATGCCATGCTTCCTCCCAGACCCCGTCCCAGTTACACAAGGCAGGGAGTGGGGAGAGGCGAGTGACCCTGACCTGGTTTCCTTCTCACTCAGGGTGACCTTCTCCGTGAGGTAGTCAAAGAGTTCCCCTCTCTTCATCCTGTGAGGACAAAGTACTTATAGCTGGATTGGATCCAAGCCCTTATCTTGCTCCCAGAGATCTGTTTTTCACCCTTACACCCCCAGAAGCAAAGTGGAAGTGACAGCGTGAACTAGATTGATTAGGACCAAATGCCAAGTCTGGGAAGTGAAGGTGCATTTGGCTGCCGACACACATCAGAAGGGAAGTTTTATCCTGAATTTTCCTGGGGAACAGAGGAGCCGTGCAAGTGTTAGAGGAGCAAGATTTTGTCTATTTTAGGATTAAGAATTATGGTTCAATCATCTCCCCTCTTGGGATGATCTAGAAAGAGGTCTCTGGTAAAATAGTCTAGTTATATCCTGGAGGGCAAATCAGGGCAGCATTAAAATAGCTTCCCCAAACAACTTAAGAGGTTAGAGACATCTGAGCTGTTCCTGAGGCCCCTCCCCCCACCCCACAGGGCCACCAAGCAGGGCTGGGGCAGCTGCCTCGGGTCCAGCCTGGAGGTGTCTGGGAAAGTCTCCCTTGTATAAAGAGGAAAGGTACATACTCCCCCCTCCCACCTCCCTCCAGGGAAATCAGTGGGACTCCTGGGAACTAAGGGTTTGCCAGTGTCATAGGGGAAGAAACTAAGGGTTTGCCAGTGTCATAGGGGAAGAACTAAGGGTTTGCCAGTGTCATAGGGGAACCATTGTGTGGTTGTGGTTTGGTTTTGGTTTTGTTCTTCCCCTATGACACTGGCAAACCCTTGCTTTATACATTATCTGTATTATCTGTAATTTACTTGCTTTATACATTATCTGTATTGCGATCCTATCATTTAATTCTATTTTAAGGACCCCAGGAGCCTCACTATTACCAATAGCAGTGACAGGATTTCCCAGTAACCACTGGGGCCTGTGCAAGCTACACCAGCAGGCTTCTGCCCTCCTGGCCTGGCGGTTTAGTTGTCCCCGTTCGCCATATTAGATTGGACCTTCAGGCAAACTGGCACTGTACACACTCAGTATGACTACAATATGGAATGTTCCAACAATGCGAAAAAAAAGTAATAATTTAAGTTTTAAGTAAACCCAGTCCTTATTTATAAAAAATCAACACACACACACACACTCCCCATCATCACAGCAGAGTTTCACTAAAGAATGAGGACTCCCGGGATATACGCAGTGGAGAGTTCTCTTCCCTGGCACCCTTTTCTAATCGAAATAATAAGAAGCCTAAAGGTATGGTTCAGAGAGCACATTGTGTGGTTTGGTTTTGATGCTTAGAGCCCCGTGAGATAGGCAGAGTGGTCAGGAGTCTTCTTCCTTTCTTGAGAAAACAGGCTCTCAGAGCTAAAAGGCTCTGGTCCAGGGGTGGCAGTGGACCCTGTGACAAGAACACACCTCAGTAGCTGTGCGGCTGACGATTTCCATCTCTGAAGCACCCCTCAAACCCAGCCTCTAAATCCACCTCCCTGGCTGAGTCCCTTGCTTCTGCCCTCCTGGCCTCCTCCTCCCCAGTCTTGCCTCCTTACAGTCAGCAGAATCCTTCCTTTCCAAAGGAATTCGGATCATGTTACTCTGCTGCTCTCACACTCTCGCCTTCCAGAGTCCTCAGGGTGGCTAGGATGCCTGCGGGATCTAGCCTTTGGAACTCTCCGACCTCGTGGCCTGTCATCACCACTGCTCCCCACGCTGGCTTTCTGGCTGATTCTTGAATGAGTTAAGCCCATCCCTCTGGACCTTGAACTAGTTCTTGGTCAGGGCCTTTTGTTAGAGGATTCCTTCTCCAGGCTTCCAGGCTTGGCTCTGGTCCCTCCCATGCTTCATCCAGGCCTCTGCTCGGGTTTCCTACGGTGAGAGCCTTCCCCACCATTCCACCTAAAGAGAGCCTGCCTCTCTAACCTCTCTTTTGCTTTCTGTATTTACTGTGGCTTTTGTGGTTACTTCTGTTCACTCCTATGAAAATTACTACTTGAAATCAGTGTCTTAAGTATTGAGTGACCACCGTTGTCATCATCATTGTAATTGGTCATTAATAGCATTTACATTGTGCTGGTCCCTGTGCTGCTGCCACTCCTATGATACCAACAAGAAAAGTGATGTGGAAGAATTCCTCCCGCCCGTCCTCCTGCCGTGGACCCAGGATTCACTAGCAGCTGAGGGACTGGTGTCTGCCTACAGCACTTGGGATCCTTTTTGCTATCCATGTTGTAGAGGGTTGACTGGCTGCTGGTATCTAGGAATTACTGGGGGGTGGGGGGGGTGGGGACCTTAGTAAGAGGTTTTCCAAATGGCACCAGGGTATAGCGAGCTCCAGAGCTGGGTACTTACAGATCAAACACCAAGAAGAAGAAAGTGTTGGTCTCATAAGTGTCCTTCAGCTGTACTGAAATGAAAATGGCTGGTTTGTCTCAGGCAGCAGAGGAACCTAGGCTGGGGCAGTGGGGGTCGGGGCAGGGGTAATTAAGCTGCTGTGGGCGGGCTTCAGAGCAGCAGCAGGTATCAGGATGGTGCTCAAAAGAGGTCTCCCTGGGAGGGGGTGGGCCAG